TTCAACGACACTCGCGCGCATCACGTATGTACACACGCATGCAACGAGACGCGACGACGACGACGACAACGACAACGACTAGTAGCTATCGTTGCGGTTTGTTAGGCACGGTTCCGCTGTCGTTTCTAGAGGTTACGCGATGTATGCATGCGTATGCATACGTACGTCCTGCATCGGCATGTACATATGTAAGCACATGCGCCGCAGGCCATCCAGGGTACACGTGGTATTTCATGTATTTTACATTATGCGTTTAGAACATGCGACTGATAAAGACGCGAGACATCCAACTATATGGGCTATCTCGCTTGAATTACAATAGAAAGTACCGGAGAGCAATATGTACGCAACCTTAATTCTAATTATAAGAACGTAATACAGGCCCTCCTCCTCTTCCATCACGCTCATCGAACAATTATGTTAGTTATCCCCGTATTGTGATGCTAATGATGATTGATAGTTTTACAATGTGATTAAATATCATAATGCTAATAACAACGATTGGTGTCAGGCATCTGATAATATACTGAAAGCGTTCTATGGAGCTCTCTCTCCTCTGTTCCGCAATTAGGAAATCGGAATCGCTCAGTTCGCGCGTGACGCTCAGACTCTTCAATCATCTGCCGCGTACTACCGCATATCAGCGCGCATAAACGCGAACCCATGTCACTCTAGGCCGGTAAATACGAGATCAGCTCTCGCACCAAATGTTAACGCTGGTATTTCCTGTGTCTCGGCGCGCAACCGTCACAAAGTGACAATTACTCCGAATGAGACTATACATTCGGAGTTAGTAAACTTAACTCGCTTTTTACTCACCCTAATCGTCTGTTCATTACTGTACATTCTTGATGAAGGGCTGCGTCTCTATCTCGAAAGACAGTATAAGCTTTTACTATTATCTGCTCGTTATTACTATCCCGGCGTGTATTCGCATGACTGACGATTAGACCGGTTTAACGATTGAGCGTTCGGAAAAGCTAATCTCTGTCCTGGAGAAAAGGGAACGCCGATAGAGATATAGTTGAAAAATCCCAGGGATTTCAATTATGCCGGTTCCTCGAAAACGTAAAGGGCCCTTTCTCTCTCCCACTCTCTCACGAAGCAGTGAGTCGTTAAAGCTCAGGGTTCTATTGGCCGCTCGTAATATTTCGCCAGTCTACAAACAATCGTTATTTTTGTTACGGGGATAATCCTTTCGGGGAAGTTTGCACGATTCGTTCTTGGACTTACGAGCCGGTCGGGATGATCCGACTTTGCGGACTCCTACGGCGAGGATACAAGGATGTCTCCTCCTTAACTATTTTTCGTCTTTCGATCGATTTGTATTTTCTTTGACGGGAACATTTAAAATCAATGGTGAGCTATAAACGATTGAGGATGACAAGAAAATTGTATGACTGGAACAGGTAGCGAAACCTTATTTTTCACTCGACACCAAAGTATATTTAACTCGGTCTTTTATTTGGACAGGTTTACGACGCGACAGAATTATAATACCATACAAAGATACGTATAACGTAAATGATTAACGATCTACAGTAAAGTAGTGATTCCTGTCGATATTTTCGTAAACAAAAACGAGTCTGACCCCAAGTCAGTTAATTCCTACATATAGATATGAGGTTGTATGTCGGGACGTAGGAACATACAACTGGCAGAGATAGGGCGATCGTTCGCGAAAGCGTGGCTGGTGCAACGACACGCATCGGCTTGCGACGGGCTTGCGAGCGAGGGCGACGTTATCGCCAGTTGCACACACCATGTGGCTGCGGTACGGTGGTTAGGGGCGGTTAGGGCAGTGCGCCGCAAGGGTGGTCAAGCCGCAAACGAGACCACCGTCCTAGCTATCTGCTATCTGGATAACCGCCATCGCCGCCGTCGTTTCTCTCTCGCTCTCGTGTCTGCCGTTCCCATATAACAGTCCTTTCCACCTCTGAACGATGCATGTACGACGACAGGTAGTCCGCAATGTCGTCGTCGCTCGCTTATCGCACTAATTCTGAAATCGAGCGATAATCGTGCGAGTGAAACTATACTGTCTATAACGTCGAGAGACGTCGCGATCGCATTCTGTCGCTTCGAACAAACGCAGATCCGACATGCGAAATCAGATCGTTCTCGCACCAACAAATCTCCTTCATCAGTACGTGTACGTGTCGCAATACGTCTACATTTTAGCGGTACTACGTTTCAATGTGGCATTTTCGCATCTGCGGTGCGTCGCGACGCTTTTGTATCATACAAAAGGTAGAGGGGGAGGGAGGGAAGGGTAGCACTCCCGCGAAGAGGGGAATCGCGCTTGGGATAACGGACGGAGTTGATAAAGACAGAGAAGGAGAGACGGGGGCGCAAGGGGGGAGGGGCAGGCGTTGGCGCGTTTATTAGTGTCCAATTGTAACGAGGAGAGTCGTGTGGGGGCAGCGCGAAAGCGAGCGCGTGAACTCGCTCATTTGCGTGTCTGTTAATTTGTCGCGTTGTGTGCGCGCCGTGCCGCACGGAGAGTTGCCGTCGACGTGACAGAGGGAAAATTAGCTCTTTGTGTATGAGTGCCACCAACTGTTGGATCGTGCACTGCCAGAAGGATGCCGACGACGACGCGCTATGTGAATAATTATCTCTAATAGTCTTCGAATCGTGTGAGTCAACTCAAAAGATTTTAGCGATGGTTCCGCAAAGTGCGAAGTGTAAAGAAAAAGCGTTGAAAAAAAAAAGTATAAAATCAAACCGGAAGGATTATGTAGTTGATTGTTGTCGCACGTATTGTCACAGACATTATTTTATAGGCTGTCGCGCGCAACGCAACGCGATAAGTTTACGCACGCGAATAATCCGGCGCGAATAAACTGCGGTAATACGCTTCGCGCGTAACCTGCCGTTGCTCGTCGTCGAATTAATCGTAATAACCGACGCATTTAGCCGCGATATACAAATCTCGCGGCTTCAATAGTCGCCACCACCACCACCACCGCCGCCATCGTCATCCCCACCTGCCCCCTCCCGCCCCATTCCACGTCATTCCTGTACCGCACTTGCTCGCGCGCGCCGCATATGATTACCATGCAAATACGGCCGACAAAACCCGCGTAAAACCACACTCGCTCTCTCTCTCTCTCTCTCACCCTCTCCGTCATCGCACACACAACCTCGCTCTTCCCGACTTTATTCCTCCCTCGTTCGTGCAATCCGGCCAACCCCCGGCTCCCCCTTCTCCTCCCAAAGCGACCACCACCCGGTCACATATGCAAAACGTGCCACTATTATAATAACATTACGCCGATGAACCTTCCATTGAACGCATGCATGCATCGCCTCGCTAATTATACACCGGGTAGCGCGACTCGCGCGGATTCACGATGCGATACGAAGGCTTAAATATAATCGTTTTGACTCCGACGCGTGTATTTTTCTCCGCCCTTTTTTTTTTGAGGTGGGAGGAGGGCTTTTATTTTTCTATACCCATATACACCCGAATGCGCGCGCGTGGGAGATCGAGCTCGCGCCGATTTGTTTTCATGACAATCACGAAACCGTCAGCACACTGCCCGCGCGAGCGACGGTGACTGCTCTCTTTTTTTTTTGTTTTTTATCGGCGAAATAGTGTCGTAATTTTCATGACGATCCGCCACTGCCCGCGTTGTGTGTCCCAGCGCATACAACTAAATATTGTTGATGTCTCTTTTTTGCGCTAACAACGTTCGCGTGGATGGAGTAACGAGTGGTCCTTGTTTTTTATTTCCACCGACACCTGCCCGCTGTGTGCGTAGCCCCGATTTTTATCGGCGTGCCGGCCACTAATCATTTTGTTTTTAACAGAGCGACAGGTCATCTCGCCGTTTCGCCCATCCCCTTTCCCCATTACTAACTTTTCGCATTTTCCTGAATGCCGAATTACGTCAGTGCGTTAAGGGAATAATAAACAAAACTTTTGTTAAAAATAGTATAAATAGTAACCTTACACTTTTCTAAGAGATGTATGGATAAGAAGCATAGGATTTAAAAAGGTAATATTAACCAGGATTAAATAAAATAATCTTTTTATTATTGTATGCATTTATTTGTTCAATTTTCTCATTTGACCTCTCTTGTAAATTTCTTAATCTTGAGATATTTACAATCGTTTCGCATTTGCCATTTCGCTCTTACGAAGTAGTAGAAAAATATCACGGTATACTTAAGACCTGTTATTTACAAAATGTACAGATAAGAGACATGAATAATCACAATCAAAGAGCGATCGTGCGCACCAAGCGAAACGGATCGCAATCTAACGGTATGTAAAACGCGAAACAATCGGTAGCAAAGTTGTAAACACAGCTTTTTGTTCCAAACGTTAACTTGTGAAATTTTATCAATTCAAATCAATAATATTTTACAACAGTGTTTGACGGTAAATTATATTCATAGCAGATGATAATTTTTTTCATTCTGTTATATACATATATATATATAGATATATACATATATACATAGTAGAATGAAAAATTTATAAAACTATAAAAAAATTATGTTAAAAAAAAATACTTCTTTCCAAATTAAAAATAATCTCGTTATGTATGTAACGTTGCCGTGTTCTTTGGATTTTTAAATCTGAATCAGTGGATAATCACTGATATCAGTGTCAAGTATGCCACTATTCACTGATTATCCAGTGACGTATTTGGCACTGGATAATCAGTGAAGTTTAATTAAAAAAGAAAGAAGGTTTGAGCATTATATCCTAAATTATTGATATTTACATGTTAATTTCAATCTTCTAATACTATATTCATTGAATTTATGCACTAAAATAAAATTAGTTAGATCAAATAATAAAGGTTAGATAGAAATTCCATATTTCATTCACTGATTACCAGTGGCATACTTGGCACTGATATCAGTGATTATCCACTGATTTAGATTTAGAGATATTTATATTTATGTTACATCACAATTTTTAATATACGTACGTATATTTCAAATTATGGTATAAACATTGATAATTATTAAAATTCGAAAAAAATACCGTCTTGTATCTTTCGTCCGTTTGGCTCTGCATTGCGTCGACGATCTCACTTTTTTTGTCAACGAGCAAGTAACAACAGTGATAACAAAGAGAACCAACAGCAGTATCACATCATCCGTCGTAACGTCATCCACCGAGTACTGAAAAAGTCGTCTGCGAACGCTCTGTTTCCATGCAACGGCCAGTTGGTAATCACGACTTTGTACGTCTCATACGTACACAATTTCGTAGACGGTGGCCTTCTTGTCACCGGAACCAGTAACGATGTATTTGTCATCCGTCGATATATCGCAACTAAGCACGGATGACGATTCCTTCGCCTGTAAATATAATCGACAAACACATATCGTCGAGTGAGCAAGCGATAACAGTTATAACAACACGCTGCTTGCAGAGCAAGAGGAAAAGAGAGAAAAAGAGAGAGAAAGCGAGAAGGAAAGGTGAAAGAAGAAAGAGATAGAGCGTCGCAAAAATTCGGGTGTTGGGAGTGTCGTTTTACGAAATGTCGTTAAACGAAAAACACGTAAACATATTTACGAGCCGCCTCGTAGGCATCTATTATTATTATTGTTGCGTTGTGCCACTTCGAATTTCGCTCGATAACGAAATCGCGCGTTCAGCGCGTATCCAAGTGATTATTCATAAGCATTATAAATCAGCATTTTTTTTTTGCTTATCGAGTCACGACTCGATGGCTCGTTTATATCGCGTAATTATAGAGTGTTCCTTAATGAGCTGTTTCGCGATCGTCCTCGACGCCTCGTCTCGCCGTCTTGTCTCACGCGCGTAACACCGTACTTATTCTCCGCGTGAAAGGTGCGAACGTAATTTGTGTAATTTGCACGCCGAGCTTGTAATAAACGTAGATGGCTTCGGAATTTAAATGTCAAAAGGCGCATTCTTTCGTATCTCTCTTTAGTATTTTCAAAACACTTTCGATCTGACATGTTCGATAATAATTAAATCGGTCCGACAAATTAAGTACTCGCGGTTCTCTTCTCTCTCGCGGTTTTTTATTTTAATAAAAATAGTTATAATATTTAAGCGGTTGTACGTCAATTATATATATTATAATACACTCGGGGGATCCTTCCTCCGCGTTTATCGACGATAAGGTGAAACGATGAAGAGAGATTATACTGTATATAATTAATTAGTATCACCAACCTGAAATATTGAAGCTCCATAAGGTGTTCGCCAAGCGTTCAGCAGATTATCCTTTCCCGTAGAAACGAACCATTTACCACATGAGGCAAACCTCAGCGACAATACACAAGATTCGTGCAAGTGCAGCTGATACTTGTCTGTTTTCGTGGCGTGTAATACTTCGACATTCGAATTCTCCATTCCGACTGCCAACCATTCACCAGTGGGGCAAAAACCAAGGGAAAATATTTGCGAGCTAAAGTCATGCTGCTGCAATTGTCTGCCTTCCCGTAGATCCCAGGAACGAACGGTATTGTCGAGACCTCCTGTCCAGAGCTTCGAGCCATCGGCAGAAATGTCGATACACGACGCTCCATCCGTATGACCTTGGAATTGTCTAACCAAAGTCTGATTCTGCAAATCCCATACTGCGATATTGCCATCGCTGCAACAGCTGAAGCAAACTTTCGAGTCCGGTGAGATGGCTAGGGCGTAACACGCCGGTGCTGAGGACGTCAATTCGGCTTTGATTCTCGGTGTCGGACTAGCCAAATCCCAGATGCTGAGTTGACTGGCTTCACCGCCGACTATTAATGTTCTACCGTCCGGAAGTAACTTTACCGACCTGCGTCAGAGAGGCGCGGAACGAGACCGCTTTTAGCATATCGTTTGCATTTATTGCCAACGCTTCTCGCGTCTTTCAACATTCGTTTCGATCGCTCTTACTGACCTGATGTAATTGTCGCGTTGTAGACAGTCAAGTTGCGAAACAGGTTTTACTTCATTCATGCCCGCTTGGCCGATATCCCAGACTTTGACACAGCCTTTACCACCGGTATAAACATACTTGGTTGGGTTTGAGATGGTTACTGCACAGACTACTTCGCCGTGATCGAGGGTACTAATCTGACGCGCGACGCGCGGTATTCCTGGACCCATAAGAGCGTCCTGCGGGAATGGTACTGGCTGCATCTGCCCGTCGCTCAACACATGGTAGCTGTATGCACTGTGAAATCCCGTCCGGTAACGATCACGATAAGTCTCTCCCGACATCAATTTGTATATAGTTCAAATTTTTATTTCAACAAGTTTAACCGATTAATTTTACTTCTGATTCAATTTTAAAAGCAACCAATATCTGACTCTCAATTTTATATTATTTTTTCACATTATTCGAACACCATCGTTAGTATGACTTATTAGTGTGTGTGAAGAGACTATAATTAATAATCGAAATTTTCGCTGAGCGACACAAGTGTCGCTGGACTTGTGTATATTAAGTAGACAAGTGTAGAGATCACCAAGTAAGAGATTGGACATTGTTTCGACAAAGTTAATCCTCATCACATTTTTCAGAGCTTGTTTACACGATAGATTATATAAAATGGATGCATAAGATAGCATAAGATGCGTAGCTATTTCAATCATACGTGTAGTAAATCAAATGGTGTCCGATCTCTCACTCGAGGATCTCTGTATCAGAAAGCCCGGTTGCGATTGCATTCCGAGATGATTTGAATACTCACGGTTTTCCACCTTGTGTCCCGACGGAACCAACGGGAGTCCTGAGAGCCGCGTGTGGATCATATAGTTGTTGCAATGCAGCGGGCGGTCGCGGTGTCGCGTAACCGTTATATGCAGCCATCACATCAACATGCGGATGTTGACCATGCGCTACTGGCGCGAGATTATGCGGCGGTGGTAGGCCGGGCGGTGGATAATGCAAAGAGCTCGGATAAGATACCACAGGTGGTGCTACCGAGCCGGATGGCATCGGCGGGCCCTGCGATAGCTTACCCGAGTTCGATTTTATACTACCGCCGATTGCCGCCGCTGTTGACGTCGGTGTGAACGACTTTGAGATTGGCGTGGTTGGTTTCTCGCGTTCCTCCATCTTTTTAGTCGATGGCGTACTCGCGTTACTGCTCGTGCCGCTTCTGGGTGAATGCGGTGCCATGTCCTTCTTTCCAATGGTTTGCACGCCGGCGGCACCCATTGACGGCACCACTGAAGAAACAGCCTTGTCGAGGCCGTTTTCACGAGGCGACGTCACACCATTCATCACTGGACTAGGCGGTCCATCACTTGCATCATCCACAACTAAATCCTGATCGCTCTTCTCACCGTCACTCTGCACGGAGGAAACACCGGTAATCGTGTGCGATTAAGCTTGTCATCTTTTCAGTATAGTATGCTTTTTTCATCAGCGAGACATCGATCTGAACCGGTTACGTTAATTTTTAATCTTGAAACTCTCCAAAAGAGCATCAGTGAAAATGAGATAAATTGGAAAGGCAAGTTTTTTTTAACAAGAAAATTATTAGTATTATAAGAGAAGTCGAGAACGTATAATATTTGTTGTTTGAATATCTATTTTTTAGATCGATATTACGTCTTAATTCGGAAATATAGTTGAAATATTTTTGTAAATTGTTGTAAACCATTATTTTGTATGGACATTGTTTAACATATTCTTTTATTATCTTTTAATTACTATTTTTGGTAAATGTGTCGATGAGGGGACCCCCCTCCATGACTTTGACCTTGACATATGTTGTCAAGGTCATGACCCTGAGTAACCTCCAACAGGTTTTAGCCTTCGCTCGTACTTCGTTAAAAAGTTATTAACAATCATTTAAAACAGTAAATGTCGATCAGGGGACCTCCCTCCAATGACATTGACCTTGACATATGTTGTCAAGGTCAAAGTCATTGGAGGGGGGTCCCCTCATCGACACATTTACCCTCTTTTTACTTAATAACGATTCGTTCTTTAAATGTGCATTCCTTCATAAATAAAAAAGCGTTAATATTATTAATTATTAATTAAAATTTTCATTTATTTAAAAATATAATCATCATAAGATATTTAACATGCTTATTACGCGGATTAATTTTTGTTTTGTTTCTATTTTTTTTTTAAACGGGAAATAATATACAATGTTGTTAGAAATGATTTTAATTAGAAACATATTTAAAAAAACACACATACAGATAATCGTTTATATTAAAATAAAAAATCACATGATTATTTTCAGGTTAAAGATTAATCACTAATGTCCACTTCTACTAATATAAATTAATTTCAACTCTCGGTTTAATTTAATTTATCTTTTACGTTTCTTTTCTAATTCTTCGAATTAGAAAACAAAATAAATCAAGATTAAAGTTAATCTGTATTAGTAGAAACGAATATAAATGGTTACGCTGTAACTATCATCGTTTCACGTTGAGGATTGATAAAGAAGTGCTCTTCGCGATTAATGACCACGTACAGTTTGTTGCACGGACTGAAACCATGAGGATGATATAATCTTTTTGTTATTAAGCACTTACATGTACCGTGTCCTTACACGTCTCGAGCTCCTTCTTCATCTTCTTCATCGGGTGCAACGGGTGATCGTGGTGGTTCTGCGAGTGATGAGAGTGGTGAGTCGGCTCTTGCGGCGTGCGCGCTCGGTTGTATTTGTCAGCCGGCGATATCGAGCCCCGCTGTAAAACACACGCGGTGTAGCGACGCCACTTTATTAGGGCGATCGTGAATGATTGCCCGAGTACATTTACGTGTACTCGATTGACTGCGAGGAACATCAAGCAGATCATAATCACACGGCGGGATTGTCGATATTTTCTAACTACCATGATGTAAAAAGATAGGTGTAATACGTGTAATATTCCCGTGGATGTGCAGTAGGAGAGTGAATTTGGGATCAAGAGATCAAATTTGATTGGCTGTTCCAGTATGCTATTATTACGCAGGAAAGTGTATTTAGGATCAAATTTGATTGAATGTTTCTAGTATTGCTATCGTCATTATTCGCGATGTTAAAGCGGGAGCACAGAAGGCATAAGAAAATTAATCAATTGAAGTTTTCTATTTTCTTATTTTTCATAAAATAAAAGGTTCCGATTTTGGTCGATGGTCTTACGCTTCTGCAAAGGTCTGTGCTCCGGACTTTACACCTTTCGAGGCTTTCTATACAATAAGCCATTTCTTGAAGTCTTAAGTGTGTATTATAAAAAATTGACCAATCATAGTCGATTATTCTTTTCACATTCGACTGTGATTGATCAACTTTTGTATAGCGTGGCTGAAGTAATGGTTTATCGTAGAAAACCTCTTTACATCACGCTAACTACGACGCTCGACAGGGAAACCTCTCCTCAAAGATAGACATTCGCGTTCGCGATACGCGGTATATACCGCACCGTAAACCGAACACGCGATACGGGATGAAGATACGCGTCGTTTGAACCGGTATGCAGGCCTCTCTCCGCGCCCCCTCCCCCCCCCCAATCGTTAATCTCGTTTAACAACAGACACCGCGCGGCAAGTACAGGCTGGAACAACGGATTAGCCACATATTCCCTGCGGCGCCGACGAACGTGACAAAACCGTAATTACCGGCGTCGACGCGGGTTATTATCAATCGTCACGCGAGCGCCCGCGATAATCGATTTCGACTTTACCCTACTATCGCCCACCCCGATATCCGACTCGTTGCGAACGTATTAAAACGTAACTTCCATCGGCGCGTTGCCGCGCCGATTTTTCATCTGTGACGCTTTTCAATGAAATATCAATTTAACGAGCGGCGCGAAGCGTCGGTACACACATACGATAAAATCGTGTCTCTGGCCCTGATGGTGTTTTGTAAAATTTATTTATTTATTTTCTATCTATTAAGCATTATTTATCATGCGCTACTGCGGAAAAAAAAAACCCTTCAAACGCAGCAGCGATATACATACGTTCGAAGATAAATATGGGTGGAGTGGATGAATTATACACGTTGTAAATAGCACTTGCAAAACGAACGCAAAAAAAGTACTCACTCAGAACGAGCCTACTCGATGATCGTACGCGACAATGTCTGTGCTAATTTACGAATTAGCATAAATTGCGGAGGCGAGCGCGGATGTATAATGCTCATCGAAAATCCAACGTAAATACAAATATGCCAGGGGAAGGATCTAATATTATTACATAATAAACCGTGTGAGATTTTTATGCGAAGGGGAAGGACAGAGAGATGGAAAAATAAAAATGTCGCATGTCTCGTCGCGTTCGCCATGGAAAGAATGATTTTGTTTGAGGTACCTCTGTAAAAATTCAGGTACAGATGTAAAAATAATTTTGATGGACCATCAAAATAATTCCACAAATTCCGTTCTAAAATGTCATAGCTTTTCCCTGGTGTTTTCAGTAATATTTTGAATTCTTTTATATTTTCGTCCCGATTTAAAAACCATCAAATATTTTATTGAGGGAGCGATTTAATACAGCAACATAAAAGACTATTAATGTTGCTGACACTGTTTGCAATTTATAATTGTTAAGTTGATAGTATTTCAAAACTATGTAGGTGTGATGTATAATGTGTATTAAATTTCTATAAAGCCAAGAATTTTAATTTTTCAGAACATTTCACAAAATTCCCTAACTTTTCGCTAATTTCTCTGATTTCCCTGATTTCGTGGCAACTCTGAATTATGTAGAACGTTCAAACTGATTGTTAAACTATCAAAACTTTTTGCAACTCGCTCATTACGCTTGAGATATTCCTACGTAATTATTATGACGGTCCAACAAAATTATTTTCAGATCTGTATGTAGCTATATTTTTACATACTTCAGCAAAATTGTATCCCTGAATGAAAATCAGAAAGGAAGAGATGCAATGCATCTACCAGTCCAGCTGCGAAAGCCGATAATGATTATAGAATGGGCGCATCGACGTGACGCGACGAAGCGCCGGCGAGAGGGTAGAGAGAAGAAAAAAATGTACACGATGGCGCGGCGCGAGAGGACGATCGGGCCCCGGGAAAGGTGGTGCCCCGGCACCAAGGAGGATGAACGAAGCGAGCGAGCTGGAGAGAAGAAAATAGAATAGCGAGAGGCGGAATGAGAGGGCGTAGATGGGCGTTTCGCGGTCCCGCGAAGATTACAGGCTCGGCAAACCCGTAATACAAGATACACCCCTTCCTTCTGCCCCGACGTTATTTTTTCTCGCCGTTCTTTTTACTTCGGTCGGCGCGCCGCGCCGGGGCCTGCCGGGACCTGCCGGGGCCCGCCGGGGTCCGCCGGGGCTCGCCGAGGACGCGTGACTTCCTCCAGATAAAGGATATGCGTGCGTAACATCCGTTTTTGAAATCTAATCCCTAAATTAAGCGACGGTTTATCTTCGCGCATATAAGGAATTTCCTTGTGATCGCTCTGTCGGCAAACCGCGCTCGCACACTCGTGCCACACGTTTTCACACGAGGGAGAAAAGTTACGAGAGTGCATGGGAGTCTACACTTCTCCAGAAGTCTCGTGATTGAGGGAAGAGAAACCGGGGCTACTTGAAATTATGCAAATAGCTCGATGGTAAAGTGTCGCTGTCGTCCTCTTTGTCTCCCCGTTCTCGCCACTTTTACGCCCCTCCTCGCGCCCGTGTGTACTCGCGAGCCGGTCGAAAGTATAAATTGCAATATGCAGCACGCACTCGTACGCGAAGTACGCTGAAGCGGCGCTCGTTGCACTCTTGACGCGCGCGCGAGTCAAGTTACACGCGCGTAATGTGCGTGTAATACACGAGGCCACGATAAGTGCCACTCGGTCGAGTGTACATTGTACAAGCCCGTACGCGTTTTCACGTATATACACCGTATAACAAAATACACATCGCTTTTGCAAAGCGCGACAAATAATCGTCGTAAACGTTAACTTTCGTTAACTTTCGGAATTCAGAAGCTATAGACCCGACAGAAGTTCCTTCCTCATCTCGTTGTCCAGAATAAAAATGTTCCTCGCAGCGACTCCATATGTGATAAATTTGTAATAAATAACTTTAATTAACTTCGTGGAAACTTGGTTACCCGTGTACATCTATTCCACGATATTCTATTTTGACTAACCATTGAAATATCGACATCAATGCAAGCAATTATAGTAGCAATACTACGTGAATGTCGTTTGTTGATTGGCAAAATTAAAAACGACCGTATTCGCGGTCTTTTTAGATTCATAACGTTTCAAGTTAAATATAATTAGTCGTCATAAAACAGAGGAGAAGATTACTTACGTGTCTATCTTCCGTCGAACTCAGACCTGAAAATAAACATATGATGTGGATAACAGTAATGCACGCAACATAATTATAAAGAAGTGCGCGTCTATAAGAGGAGACGCTGTTAACATTCTTTGTGTCATTCTATCTTTACCATTTATTGGACAAAACAAGATAGAGTAACATAAATAACACTAATAGCGTTCTGCTCGAACGCATCTTAAATATAGATTTCCATATGAATAGGATTGCCATCCGCCTCTTTTTCCTAAACACCGCCTTTTTTTTAGGGGTCTGAAGACGTTCGAGGTAATTTTCTAAAGACGTTTGGGATAATTAAGCGTTTAGGATGTTTCATGGAATTTTCTCAATATTTTGCTTCGATCCGTTTCGCATTGTTCTGATGTATAGTCCTAATTTACATTGTAACAATACTTAAGCTGTCTTGCAGAAACTGACCGATGTGAGGAGAATAATCGACTAGGTATGCGATTTGTCAATTTGTTATAATACATCAAATTAGTACACCATTAATGAACAATTAAATGTAAAATAATTATTCGTTAACTGTCCTAACCACCAATTTCATTAATTTACACGCATTTTCATATAAAAGAAATGCAAGTGAGATCCCGGATTTTTAATCTGTAAGTTTCAAAAATTTTAATATACGACAACTGTATATACGTACGAATATACTAGGTTCACTCCTCCATCATGAACGTAAATATTTCAATTCTAAAATTAAACAATTCAGTGTGCTGTGCAAACGTGTATGCCTGCGCGATAAGATTCGAAAGGAATCTCGTGAGTATATTGAGATCGAATGTCGAGTATCGATAAAATGTTAATAACGTGCTGCGCCGTAAAACGACGGTCAGTAGCCGTAGAAGTGGGGGGGAAGGGCGGGGGCAGAGGGGGCCCGGATGGCATCCATATAAATGATCTTCATGCATATTTATGTGCGCTTTTCGCTGAAAACCGCCGCTAGCGCGTCCGCTAACAGGGTGACGCAAACACGCTCGCTCCACCGAAAGCGGATACCCGTAATAAAGCGCTTTGAACATTTCCCGGTGAAAAAGAGGGGTCGTCAAAAGTCTCGCCTATATACATGCATATATACATCTAGTAAATATATACATATATATATATATAATAAATATATATTGCATACGTCTACACCTTTTCCTTCGCCGATCTTCGTTAACTTTGTCACGATTGATAGACATTTCCCTCTCTCGCATGGTTATACGATAAGTCGGGACTGACTGAGAGAGAATACCGAAATAAAATTTCGCTTTAGTACTTGTATCTCTATTTCTATAAAACCGCGTTGCTGAAAACTGTTAATTGTACATTTGTGTAAACGCCCAAATATCCGTACATAATGGAAATTTTCATAACGCTGGTGTATACGTAACTTCCTGGTATTATAAGGGATTATATATGATTGAATATTATTGAATGTTAATGTTATCTGATTAATTAGATTTGTAGCGCACTCATAGTGTATATTATATCTCACAAAGGAGATTAAACACGTGAAATAAGGCACTTGAATTCAGAACTTTACAATTAATTACGTTCGCATCTCTGTATTTTTAATTTACAAGAGAAGATCTCTTTAGGTCGCCTTAAACTTGCATTGCGAAAAGGAAAGGCAGAAACTACAATTTTATATATTAGTGTTTTCAATAATGTGACAACATAAAGTAAAAATATTATTACAAATCTCTATAATACTGGTACAATATCGAAAAGTTACGTATATCGATATCGATATGTCATGTCTATATGTTTATACGAATCGATTTTACTATTTCAGTTACTGTAGAAAAATGAAAAATATCACCGTGCAAACAGTATTTTTTATACTGGTTTCAATCGTTAAATCGAACGTGACCAGAGGTCGGAATTTTACTCGAGGGTTTTTCCTTTTTTCCGTTCATCACATTGGATAATAATCATGTCAATCGCGAAAGACCGAGAGAAACTCCTACAACTGGATTTCATAAAAAATTATATATAAGAGATAAAATTCTGAATTTATCCACGTGTGTCTATGGACCAAAGATGAAAGAGGCGGGTCATCCACGGCGCCGCGATACAATTGTATACGGCTGCATATCAAAGATATCGGGGAGTGCAGTCGACTTACCTCCGTTGCTCTTCAGATCGTCCGGTTGACCACGGTGGATTTCAGGCTTGACGAGCATCGACAGAGAATGCGCGGTGGCGGGCGTACCAGGGGCCGCAGGGGGTCCAGTAGTCAGTCCGAGACCAGTCAGCAAAGCCGCGGACGCGGAAGTTGGTACCGGAAGACCGGCAGCTGGCCCCAATCCGGGAAGTCCAGGTAAACCCGGATGAGCCATCGCCGCTCCCGGCGGTATTTGCTGAGCGTGCATTTGCTGAAGGAACCGCGGTATGTCTGGCCTCTGCTGCTGAAACCGCGCATGCAAAATGTCGTTCGTATAAATCGATTTTGTGTATGCTCGTGGGTTTGTTACACGTGTGAAGATTCCCAAGAAACCGCGGCGCGATTACTAGTGAATAGTAGGTTACGGAATTGAGAGCTTGTAAAAAAAACTCGCGTAGCGAAGGGTAAGCTCTGGTATATTACGATCATAAAACTGGTATACTTTAAACATGGTTGGAACGTTGACTATCATACGGAAAAGATAGCCGTAGGCTATAATTTCTTTAATAATTACTAAATAGTTATAGTCATTTTCAAAGATAATCAATGTTTATGGTAGTTTATGTGCGTGTACTGTTCCGAAATAACAACATTATCAATGTTATGTAATATTTGTACTTTCGACTGCCTGCAAAGTTTTCCACTAAAAGCTGCTATAACGTCGAATAAATTACAATTAAGCTGTCATAATCAACGTTTCATACATAAATAAATACGTAAATTGTAATGTGACCTGTAATTTGTATTTTCATTTTCACTATATTTGTAAATACTATGGCCATCTTTCAGGCACAATTCGGGAAAAATGGCTATTAACCAAGTAAAACACACACACAAATTGTTTGTTTTTAATTATAGCGATCTTTATTGTTTAATTTCTTAGTTTAAAAAAATATAACTTTTATGTAAATATACTATTGCAATATCATTATATATTTGTTTATTATAACCAAGTTATATTTTAATTATACATGTTATTATAATATTTCGATAACATTAAATTTCTCTTTAATTTTGTTAATGTTTATTGCTTTAAGCTCAGTGAAGCGATACCAAACATTATTTAAAAAAAGTAACAAAAATAAAAATATATTTTTTGCATTAAAAAAATATGTGGCCATCTTACCCGAGTTTATACTCTATTACGTAAAATAGAATAACAAGTGAACGCGAGGTAGACAAGAGGGTATAGAACGATAATTCAGCATGATTGTTTAAAAAAAATGTTTGGCTGGTATCAGGAATATATATACGGATGATGTTGAAAAATATATATTGCCCCGTGAAACGTTCTCTCGCGCGTAGTATAGGATAAAACTCACGCGCGTTATCTCTGATCGTGAGATTGAAAAATCGCGCGACCCTCGCGGCGGACGCGGTGCACGTCGAAAATCGCAGCGTTCGTTTCCGGCGCGTGAAACGAAACGTAATAGTCCCAAACGAGGTTTAACATGCCGTGAATAATACGCGCAACGCGTGTGGCGCGGGAACGGAGGAAGCCGGCAGGAAGAGAGACAGAGAGAAGGATCGGTGAGAATCCCGCGGCCGCGTCATCGCGTTTCCGAGGTGAGCGGGAGGAAGACGAAAGAGAGAGGGTGAAGGGAAAGCGGGAAATGGAGGACTGTACGTTCCTCTCGCGCAGTGTTATTAAACGAAATATTGATTCAACCTCTGTTTACCGAATAATACATATTCATGAGGGTTAGCGCTTCTGTCTATTTGCCTTCATCGTCCCTTCGGTCTGCACCGCACCCTTTCCCTCCACGCGCAGCGTTTTGTGTGCCACCACCCCGTCACCCCGTACTTTCCCCATCGTGCGAATCCCTTCGCCACGAATCCCACTCGACAGCCCGTAACATACTAGCACGCTAATTATATTTCGCGTACATACAGCGACGCGCGTCGCGTAATGACAGATTGGCGAGATTGCGGTTTACGCAGCAATGGCCTTGTCAGAGGGATCATTTTTTCTCGCTCTCGTCGTTGTTGTTGCGGTAAAAGACCCTCGATCGGACGTATCTCCGCGGGTTAAATCACTTCTGCCGTTTTTACCAATGTGAACCCTTTTCTTCATCTTTTTCTAATTCTACGAATTTTCTTAGAATTAAAAAAAGATGAAGATTTAGTGGAGAGAATCAAGTTAGAGTTAATCTATATTGGTAGAAACCGCCATCCGTGATTTCGGATTAATCCTCCGTCTGCGATTATATTTTTACTCTCTCCGTCTAGCCAAGTTTTTCACTGTTCTAGACTTTCAAAAAAACGTGGAAAAATTTAGTTACTTTTCGATCAACATCTTTATTACCAGATAATTTTTTAACAAGATAGAAGGGGAAATCCAAATCTACGCTTCTTTGTTTCGGAAAAATTGAAGAGTAAAATTTCGTTTGTGCCAAAAAAAGACCTAAATTACGGAGAGTTAATTTATTTATGGAAACACTTAATGAAGTGAGAAGATATGCAAACGTGTAGTAGAAGTCATTTCACTTGTCAGACAAATATTTGTATCAATGATTCAACATAATTGTTTGTGGCTTAAAGAAGAACACACATTGATTTATTCGCGCGATGATTCGACTTTAAGCATCAGCTTTTTTTGGAATATGCTTGTGTGTCTCGACAATAGCGTCCTTGGGATTGAGAAATTATTCGCATCATGCGCGCGAGGATCAACTCGAAACTTAATTACGCGCGACACGTTTACCGAATGTCGATCTCGTGTTTCGATCGCGCATACGCGATTGCGGCTATGAAATAGAGAAAATCCGGCACGCCATGAAAAATATACCTAACGATGACAAAATAATAATTGAAATAAAAGAATCATTCGCTTCTGCCATATTTTTTCCGGAAAGTTTGAAAAATACCGGACAGCTTGTTCGCACTGTGTAGCGCGTTTCTCATTGTATTATATTTATATTATACTTACTCCCATTATGGTATTTAATTCGGTCATCGTAATTTGCTTTGCTCTGTCTAAAGCACCAGCGACTTGTTGTTGATGTTCTTGAGAAAGAAATGGTATGATTTGTGTGATGATGTTGCTCAACCTTTTAGATATCTCCGTCTGTAATAATAATACAAAAATACGATAAAACGGAAAATAATTACGATAATAAGTCGAAAAGAGGTCTATTAAGAGAATGTAACTTGGTGTGATTTATTTGATACGTTATTAGTAATACAAATCATAATTTAAAGATGTTAGAGATTCCGAATTTTGGTTTGGTAATTTTTCCGTCACTTAAAAATTCAACATTTGTCATAAAGTTGCAAAGAATAGAGTTGGCTGGTGCAAAGAAAATTCCGAAACTGGATACTTAACTCTTCGTAGACATACTGAATCTTTTGTGAAGGCAAAATTTCGTTCTCTCAAATTTCTTAACACAAATTTTAATTTTTATTAAATAAAAGTTGTAATATTTAAGTTAAATAACTGAAATATATATAAGATATGTTAAAAAATGATTCTGCATTAAAAAAAATTTTTTTGAAAGTAAGAGCTTAGAACAGTAAAAAAGTTTAGGCTGAATAAAAGACTATAGAGTGTAAATATATATGCCTATAGAATAAGTAAAAATTTGTCTACAAAAAGTTAAGACTTTTCGTGTACCCTTAATATTGCGAAATACATGTTTTAACTCTCAGCCAGCAATTGAAGTTTTTAAAGGTATCATTGATTTTTGGATATAAATTTTAGTGGGGTTGGGGGCTAAATTTATTTGGGCTAAATTTATCTGTAGAAAATAAATAAAATCGACTTTTATGGTATAATAGTAAAAGCTCATTGTTAAAGCTTTGAAAAGTATACCAGAATTTTTTCGGACTTTCATATAATCCGGAACAATAAAAAATTTGCTCTGTTTCTCGAAAACCTCCGTTGCTGACGGAAGAGTTGAAATTTATGTCGCCAGCGAAGGGTTAAGCCGATAGCTCGACAGGCGGATTAAGAATTCTCGGAAATAGGATAGAATGTGGAACGCATCGCGCACCGTGGGGGTAATAGTAATAGTTTAGATCCCCAGCTGCGGTCTCGGCTATTCCCCCGGCCGCATCTCGATGGACAGACAGACGCGTCGAGTGAGTAATGAAAGCGCGAGTTAAAGGCGGTGACCGCCTAACGCTTCGTCGTCTTAAACGCGCGAGTAACGAGCGAGGCTGGCTGCATATTTCTGACCGGGAGGCGATTTGCTGTCAACGGGGCGTTCCTCTATTTTCGTCGCGTATAAGTCTTCGCAGGGCAGCAGTTATGACGCGACGTGCGTATACGAGAGTGCGTATTCCAAGAATAAAGCACTCGCCAAGCGCGTAAGACGTATGAAATAATGAGGCGATATTTACGAAGTCGAGCCCTCCCACCGTCGCGCAACGATTCTCCATTCTCCGCAAGAATCCGCTGCTTTCGGCGTTCTTTGAACCTGGTCCAACGACCGGTAGCATTTTCCGAACATTGAGTCATAAATAAATAGACATTTATATATATAGATAAGTATAGATATAAGTAAAGAAATCTATTTTATTCTAGATGTACATACAAGAAAATTGTTGAATTGATATCACATATTAGACATCAAAAGATAAATAAGGAAGATAAAGTGGTAAGAGAGTAAACAATTATAATACATTAAAATAAAATGTAATAAAGATATATAAAAAATGTATAAAAACAGTATGTAAATCTGCAGTGTAAAGATAGCACTTAGTAAACAAAACTGCTCTAATGTATAAAAAGAACAGATAACAAAAAAATTAAAAATAAAGCCGTACACGTACAAAAAAGACGAGTTTTTTTTCTGGGTAAAGGAAGTTCGTGATTGGAATTAAATGAAGTTTCAAACTCACCTGCTTGTGCATTTCCACATTTAGGCCGTATGACATCTCGTAGTACTGCAACAGACAATTCCGTGATATACTTCAATAATTAACTATGGAATCGATATTGCACTGTGTGTATCCAATGATATATTTTAGCTCTACCGGTTTGTTCAAATTTATTATATGATCATATTTTGTTTGTGTGTGTGAATCAATATGATTAAAACTCTAAAAAATAAAAAGGAAAGAAAGAGGGCAATCAAAAGATGTTATATAAAAATAAATATAAATTTTATTTTAAAACGTAATGGAACATTTCAATTCACTGAGTCTCCTTTAGTTAAAATAAATTACTTAACGACGTATAAAATATATAGTAAAAAATAATAAAAATTAAATGAAAAAGATAAAAGACAATGAATGAAAATCACAAAAACCATGTTCAAATAGGTAAACATAAAAATAATCCGATAAAAATTAATAAACAATTAATAAATTTGACGAACATATAAAGTAATATTATAAAATAAATGTTGCATATAAAATGTTGAATAAGTAATTCATTATTTAAAACATTTTCTTCAGACAAAAAAATAAAAAATGTTCACAAACAAAATTTTACATTAACAGACAAAGTCATAAAATAAATATCAAAAAAATATTAGTAAAAAATTGATTACGTTAGGGTCAAATAGATCTGAATAGACCAGCAGGATTAATAATTAAGAGATCGATACAATTAACAAATTTTCTGCAATTTATCTTAGTAATTAACTAACAATAAGAAATCAACATAATCAACGTTTCTCAGAATGTTTTTCAAAGCGATTGTATCACAGACCAGATGAGATTTCCTTTGAATTGTCCAGCAGCGGTCGGTGGTTCGAACGGAGCCGTTTCAACTACACTAACGTGTTATTAATTATCGCTAATCGTGATAACGTACTCGAGTTCGCTGGTCGAGTGTATTTGAGAGGTGAGCCGCGGTTGCAGTTGCAAAGAGAGTGCAAGAGAGAGAGAGAGAAATGGAGGGGGGGGAAGAGAAATGCGCGCGCGTGAGAAATACGAGACGAAGAGGCGAACGCGTGTAAACGCGCACCGACCAGGTTACAGGTTCTTAATTTTACGGGCCATTAGCCCGGTAATTACTCGGGCGAATTAATTGCGCTTGTAAGTAAGTTATTTCACCCGGGAGATAGACACAGCGGCAGAGAGGTGAGGGCACAGAGAGGAAGAGAAGATAGGACGCTGGAAACGGGTGCCGAGGGATGGAGGACGCGTTAACGGAGGCTAGCTGTTGAGATCGGTTGGCTGCAGCGGCAACAGCATCGACCAATGGCACACTCTTTCCCTGGGGGCAACGGCGTTCGTTCGTTACGGCAAGCGGTGCAACATCCTTAACGCTCGTTAATGAGGCCAGCGTCGCGCATCGCCAGCAAGGAGCGGTGGCGTGAGGGGAGAGAAAGGGAGCATTCGTATCAAATGGACTAAAGCAGAGATTAATTGCGTTTAAACTGGTGGCCCACGTGCCGCCCCCGCGCCGATTAGATCGGTGAATTAAAACGGTAACGATAAATTGACGGCGTAAAACTCGCGCAACGAAGCCGCGTTTTCGATTTAATTATCGCGTCGCTTGCTCGACGCTTTTAATAAAGAAGATAAATAATAAGAAACTAGCGGCGTCTCTCGCGCGGACTTTGCGGACCCTGCGCCATCGCGAAATCGTTGCCAATTTGTATAACAAGTGGTAAATTTATATAAAATGGAAAATTCTTCAGTTTCTTTTCAATCAGAGCGTTCAATTCACAGAGTTATTTCCGATCGCTCCTTAGATCCTTCAGTCGTGAGAAGAAATTTCCGATCGCTCTCTTTAGATCCTTCACACACACACACACACACACACACAGAGCCGCGAGAAGAAATTTTAGAATTCTTCACGATACGCGGATTGAGGGTACTTTTCTTTCTGGCGACTTCTTGAAAGTTCATAAATAACTCTTCGTCGTGGCGCTTCGTTTATTTTCTCTTTTTGGTTCTCGCGCCGTGGGAGAGCTCGTGGGTACGAGAGGTAGGGATATGAGAAGGTGCTCGAATATTAACGAGACGTAGACCGCCGTCGTCGCCGCCGCTGCCACCACCGCCGCCGCCATGACCTAACAGCGTATTACTTCGTCATTAAACGTGCGAGACAGCTGCGCTTGTGCGAACGTTGTAGACTAATTCGATGAGAGCCACTGGCTCTTAGAGTCATTAGCTATGCACGAGCGCATACATACATATACATATACATGTATCTGTAGTATATCTGACTACGTTACGCGCGGCGTAACGAGCCAATGTAAAGCCCCGACCCCGGCTCCGACTTGGAGGATGCAATTAATGCTAAGAAGCCGAGGTGGTTTAGCGGTCGAGCGAGCATGATTATTCTGGATACGAGAGAGAAAGGGAGAGAAAGGGGGAGAGAGAGAGAGAGAGATGGAAAAGGAGGAACACAGAAGCAAGAGGTAGTCGAGGGAAACGTTACGACGCGACGTCTAACTGGCACGTCTAACTTTACGACGCACCAATGATTGCACTTACCATCACGTAGTGTCGCTGAATCTCGATCTTGTCGTTAGCCAGTTTCTCGCAGTCTAGCTTCAGCCTGCGGAAAGAGAAAAAGAACATAACGTGGAGTGCATGTGAAAACAGTCGAGTATAGGTTCGAATTGAGGGAGAGAAAGGAGAGAGAAAACTAGAGTTTCCCCCCTCTCTTTCTCTCTCCTTTCGCGAATAGAATATGCTCCGTACGTGGCGAGCGAAAGAAAGAGGCGGAAAAAAGAAAAACGCGAGGAAAATAAGGAAGAACCGTCTTGTCGGACAACGAGAAAAGTTTCGATCCGCGTACACGCGCGCTGCTGAAAAATGCAAGGCCCGTTCTTCCCCGGCGTTCGCGTTCGTGAAACTCGAGAAGCTCGAGTTCGTATATATTTGCGAGCTGCCATTACGTATCAGTCGTGCAACTTGCAGGATATAGCGTGCACTCCGAGCAGCTGCGCCCGTTCCCAGACCTTTTTTCTCTCCGCAAGCGCGCGATACGACTCGCCGCAGTCCTTACGCGCGCGTTTCCGCGTCAGACGAAAGAAGTAAGAAGAAGCCAAGGTGGAAGAAGAGAGAGGATCGATCGTGGCAATCGCATAGGATTGCCACAAATTCCTCGTCCTAAAATAGCATAATTTTTTCCTGATTTCTAGATAAAATTCCACGACTTCTGATGTCTTTAATAATAAATATTTTAAAATTCTTTGTATTTTCGTTCTGATTAAAAAATCCTCAAATATTTCGCCGAGAGGGAGCAATTTGACATAGCGATGTAAGTTATTATCAATATCGCTGACATTGCTTGTATTTAATTGTTAAGTCGATATAGTAGTGGAAAAATTACGTAGAGTACGCGTATTAATTTTCTTTAAAGCCAAGAATTGTAACTTTCCAGGAAATTTTGCAAAATTTTCTGGCCACTTTCAGTTTTCTTTGACATTTCTCTGGTTACCAATTTGCGGCAACCCTGAATCCGAAAATGTGTCTCTTTTTCTTCAACGAACGTAGATGCCGGGGGGCGCGATATCGTTATCGGTAAAAAGCTTTGATCGTCGATACTTACGAGTGATATTGTGCCTGCAGGAAATTGAACTCCTCCTTGATCCTGTCGCAGGACTCGCTAACCGTGAACTTGAATGGCTGGTTCGGTTGCGGCGGGCCCTGCAGACAAAAGAAAAACGTGAGAAACCTTACCTCTCGATCGGTCTAGCCAATACCTATGCGATATGAATCAATCGATCCGCGTCCCAGAAATGTCGACGGATCGATCGATCGTCGGAATCCCGCCCTTCCCTCCCCCCCCCCTCACCCCTCGATCTCTATACCACCCGTTCTGAATAATTAACTCCGTACAGCTGTTCGACCGCGAAAGGGCAGGGGTGGCGGTGTCGTACAAGCGAAAGTGATACGAGGCCCGTGTGGTAGATTGAAGCATACGAGGGAGGGGGGGGGGAGGAGGGTTGATGGTAGATGGTACTGATGGGTGTAGGACGCGCACACAGTAGAAACGTGTGCACGTGCACGCGCGATTACACGGAGCTGGATAGATGTGTACGGGTCCCGGCAATAGTCGGTTATCGTCTCTCTGGCTCGAGAGAGCTGCAGTGCTCTGTAACGGCAGCTCTCTCCCTCTGACTCGCGCGCGCGCGCGCAGAGAGAGAGAGCAAGTGTTAATTACATGTTTGCGGTGTCCGCGAGGATTACACGCTACAACCGAAACTATGGGCCGCCTGGGTTCTGTGTCGCGTATGAACACGCGTAGGGTACGTGTGCACGTGTACGCGCGCATAAATATACTATATCGTTAACGACATCCTCCGTAAGCGAACATCGCGTCCTTCGCCGGATCCGTAAATTACACGACGATGCGGCGACATTGATATTTGTTGACGGCACCACGTGCAGATTTAACACCTGTGTATGACCTCTCTGTTTAAGCTAATGACATACGTTGAACTTAAATGAATGAATACTTGACTCGAAACAATGAGAACGATGTGTCATCACAATTGCGTCGTCGTTATTCTCTCGGTTGGGTCAAAGTCGCTCGACCTCTCGAGAAGAGTGGAGAACACAATGCGCGCGCGTACGTCTTCGCCAGTACGGTCTCGACAGTTGTACGACCAAAACCCGCTAAATTCTCGAAACGGGAGAGACGAGCGCGACAATGGCGCGGACGAGCGTGAGAAGAAAGGAGAGGTAGGTATATAGAATAGGCAGGCAAGCAGAGAGGAAACGGATAGTCGGATGGAGGTCGTGGCGAGAGGAATTGCGGATAGAAGAGGAGGAAGGGACGGGTGTCCAAAGGTGGCCACGACGAGGGAAGTTGCGGTTTTCGCGGTCGCCGTGGTTGCGGCTTAGGCAAATTGAGATAGTTCGCAAACCGCCGACCAGCTGACCTGGCCGTCACGCCAGGATGCGCCAGGATGGCACATGCCGCGCGCTGCACGTCTCTCTTTCTCTTTCTCTCTTCCTTTCGCGAGAATCTAGCGGTGATCCCGGCGACGCTTTCCGTAACACGCCTAGCTTATCATCTCCGTTCAATAATTCATAAACAACGACATATGTATACATAAGCATTTCCATGTTTTTCAGTCACGACACAAAGCCGGAAATTGACAATTTAAGTGAGATTCCTTGCTCTTTCTGCTTTCACCGAAGATTTCAAAGAGACACAATATGAAACTTCCTACTGCGTTAAATCTGTTAAACCGTCGTCGTTATCCAACTTGAAGCTATATGAACAGAGTACTCGATCTGTGCGTGTGTGCCGTTCATAAATCTTCTCAATCGTGAAACGAATTAAACCGTTAGTGACAGTGCCGATGTCGATTCCGGCGGTATCGCAAGCGCGATCGAGTACCACTGGCGGCCGGGTAAACAGCACTGTATCGTATTTGTGTGCTTAGCCCGGCAAATGTTAGCCAGCATATCGCTTATGGTGCTTGTTGAGCGAGGGGTGATGGTCGATAGTTTCCGTAGCGGCGCGGCAGTGGCGGGCAGGACGAAGAGAACTACTCCTCGCTCGCTTTCTCGTAGCGGTATATAGGTACACGGCATCGCGTTCGCGTCGGTTTAACGCCGATCCGACGACGTGGACATGAACGAACGAACGAGCGAGCACGAACGCATACGTCGTGTTTGTCCATCCGTCCATATAGGGCCGTGTTTGTCCTTGCCTCTCGCTGTTTGAAGAACGTCGGGATCCTGGTCTGTGCAAACTCCTCATTATTGTGAACAGTGTACACGGGGCATAAACGCGCGTGCGCGCTCGCTCGGCCCGACCGAAGTTACACGTGTCAAGTCGCGCGTCACGTGCGCGCACACACACGATCGTGATACTTTTTTTTTTCCTCCATTTTTTTCCACGCGACGGAAGCGAAACGCGCGCGGCGCGTTCGCCTGTGCGACAAAAACGCGATCTCTACCACCCTCCCAGCACTACTCTGTGTGAAAGCAAAAAAAAAGTCACGGAATCTCTGGAGACCGAATTTTCGTGATTCCGCTCGCGACGACTCTCGTGCTCTTTTCGTCAAGATTTTTACGACCGATTACAGCTCACGCGTGTTAACACACGTTTTTCCAAGTCTGTCTTCCGTTATGTTCACTGCGAGTTTTGAAAATTTATCGTGTACCACCGCATGATTGCCACAAATTCCTAAAATTGTATGACTTTTCCCTGATTTCTAGATCAAATTCCATGACATCTCCATTCCTAAACACTTTGAAATGTGTTTGTATTTTCCTTCTGAAATCGTCAAATATTTTGTTGCGAGAGCAATTTAACATAGCAATGTAACTTATTATCATTAATGTTACTAATACTACTTGTATTTAACCGTTAAATTGATAGCACTCCAAACTACATAGATGTAATGTATCTATGCATTTCCCTGATTTCTAATTTGTATCTGACAACACTATACATGTGTAATATAGATTTTCAGTACACGCAATAAATAACGGAACGCAGTCTAAAATAATACATTTGAGTCTAAAGCCGATATTCATAGTCGATTCTTTTATATATTTAAGGCTGTCTTAAATACAGTCTTAAGGTGTCATAAGCCAATCAGAGGATTATTGTATTAGCATCTTAAGAGATTACTTAAAATGGGTCTTAAAATAAAAACTGACTATGCCGGCTGAGATATGTTTACGAAATACGCGATTTAGAATTGTATTATAGTTAAATTAACGACAGTAATTAAAAATAAGCCTGATTGCGTCATCTATAATGTGCGAGAGCCAAAAAGTTTCTCATTCATTACGCCGTCATCAGCCTAATTACGTTTAAGAATCGCTCAGTGTCAATATTTTACATTGGTCTTAAAACATTTTGGAAAAAAACTCACGGAGAGCGGCGAGAGATTAAACAGTCGGGCGAGCGTTTAATATTCTTTTTTTTATATCTGATCTGACGACTTTAGGTTTCAAATTGGAAGACGTCGACAATCAAATCACTCGAGTCGAATAAGCTCAGGTATCGTTTTTCCAGATTGATTAGCGACGAATTAAATAGTTAAATACACGAAGACGTTGATATTGACGTCGTGTCGCTTCGACGATAGAAATCTTCGTGTTCGAAAATCTTCAACTAATTAATCACAGACTTTATGATAAAAGAGATAATAATTTTACACGTCTAGACACAAGCCAGACTTAGCAAAAAACAGATATAAAAATAGATATAAAAAAAAATTGCATTAAAAAAATATAACGAAAAGATTAATATATATAGATAAAATATTAGACAGAATCGATATTTAAAAACTGTCTGCTTTTTGCATAGATTTTTATCAATCTGTTCAACGATTACACATATTTTCCAAATTGGATGATTCTTTTATATTTAAAGCATTTTTTCTTCTTTTAAATTCAAAATGCGATCTTCAATGAGATATGAGTCTCATCAGAGACTCGCATCATCTTCTTGGAAGATGGACTGTGTTCGCCAGCAGTTGAGAAAATTGCTGCTGCTTATCCACTTATCTGCGCACCTATCACGATGTAATAAAATTTTTACTAAAAAATGGCATCCAGTGCTGGCCTGAATTATGACCCAGCGATTTAATACCTGTATCTCGTTATTCGCACAAATCGTGAAAATATAGTAATCTCTCTATCGTGTTTTGAGAATCGAGATTTTTTTCCCTTCAGAAAAAATACATTCCGAGATATGTGCCATCTTTTCGTGGAGTGCGAAAGCATAATCGGCTTAGTGTGAAAAAGATCAGTGGAAGCTCCATATATCTTTATAAATACCAAGATTTCGAAGGTTCTCGATTCGATCTGGGCAATAGATTTACTTTCTATGGGACAATCGCGTTTCAGCAAGATTGTCGGTTTAAAGGGCTCAATGTTACTACAAGAGGATCTAATACACGAGTACATATGTATGCAAGTGTGTATGCGTGTATACGAGATGAAGGTAGGAGAGCGGGACAAGGAGTATCCGTTGAAACTTTCCGCCTGGGGTTTCGTAATGATCGACGGGCCGGTTTGTCCGGAAATAATATTTGTACAGCTTGTACGTAAACAGCCCTGGCGGCCCTGCAGAGTGCCAATAACCACCGCCTGTGTCAACTCGGTCAAGCACCGGAGCATCACGACGAGGATGACGGCGACGAGGGCAACGGCAACGTCGATAGCGACGGTGACGAGTCATGATACTAATTGTCTCCAGGGATCGAAAGCGTCGGTGCAGTATATAATGACGATGAACGATGACGCCAAGTCATTCGATCGTTTGGTCGCGACTAAGGGTTACTCTTTTAACCTTTATATAAATAAATGGGGTGCTCAAAACTGGGTTTACTCGAAACAAATTTTTTTTTTATTTTTATATATAGTTTTTTTAATAGTATATATATATATATGTAGAATTAAATTTACACTATTTTTATATTCTTATAAAATAGAGGAACGTAAGAATAATTGACTTGAAGACTTCTAGGCAACTTTTATTTTCCTTTTCCATAACAAAGTTTTTAAGATAATTATGCGTAGAGCGCTGTAGCCATCTATACCTATTTAAAGATTAAGAGTATACTCTTTTTGAGGTCAACGAACATTTGATCATTAATTAAGGATGGCTTGAATTGAAATCGAAATGTACGGTTGGTGAATTTAGATTATAATATATTAAAGTAAATTGTACGAATGTGATTGCGCACTGTTTATCGCGCTGACTTCAAACAATATTATCATTGATATTTTTATCATTAATTAAAAAAAATTTTATACTTACAAAATTATATTGGTAAGAATTTTGTCAATAAAAATTTTATTTGGACATTAATAAAAATATATTGATAAGAATTGTCAATAGAAATTTTATTTTATTACAAAAAAATTGTTCATTTGATTAAATTAATTTAGTTCGTCTTTATTTTATTCAACGAAGAATGAATGTATTGAGTTCAAACATAGGTATATTTGAATTTAAATACATGTATATAATACATTATGTAACGAAAGAAATAAAGATGAACTAAATTTAGTCAAATGATATTTTTTTTTCTCACTGTACTCATTTAATACATTAAAAAATTATAATCTCTTCTTTCGCTCCCTAATTATCATCTTTACTTAAAAAGTATATACTATATGTATACCTCTGTGATTTAAATATGATAACTCTAGTCGTGACAGGTAAGTAGCGCCGGGAGCTCTTTACGTTATTCTCATCCCATCGCAATTTACGTCACGCGACGCGAATTAATCGAAAACGTCAGACGGACCTTTTTCGATAATCAGCAAATTCGTTACTGTCATGTAAATACGTGATTTAATTCCCGTATGGATTACATCGATTACGATATTCTTCGAAATTTGAAAGCGTTTTCATCTTCGTCGACGTTTTAATTGACTTCGCTTGCTTTACGCGTCACTGCGCGATAAAATTGTACGGTGTGTTATTAAAAATGTGACGATCTCACGTCTCGTTCGCTACAATTTTCATTGTCTGAGATTCTCCACGTGAACGAGTGCCAGCGAGAGCGAGAAAAACAGATAGATGGGAGAAAGAGAGATAGAAGACGAGGTGGCCAACTGTTTGCACGTGACGAGATTTATAATGCTCGCGCCAATTGCATGTAACACGCTTCGCTCATTCCACGGTGTAATTCATCGCGGTGTAATTACCAATGCATATTGCGGTTCTGCGGAAACGCGCGCGCGCGAGCGAGCCTGCGGCCCGCAAATTTCGTGGTACACGCGCGATATCGTTTGGCGGTGTATCTCTCTCACTCTCTCTTCCTCTGCACCTCGTCTCGATTTCAATTTTGTCCCCGTCTCTTCTCGTCGCGCCGACAAATAATTACAACGGGAGATCGGTCTGCATCGTCGCTGGATGGAACGCTAATGAGATCGTTCCACCGCAAAGTATAAGAGTAGATAAAAATGACACAAGTACGAGGAATAAGTAATTAAGTGTATATTTCTCTATATTTCTAAGTAACGTAAAAAAGGATTCAAGTATTTCAATTAATTAATTAAATTAATCGATCGTTCGAGAGTTCCTACTTTCTTCAAAGAAGTAAATCATTTCCGTCGCTAATGCGATATTTTTTGATTAGCGAGAAGCTACAAGGTTTACATAGAAAAATACATACTGTAATATATGCAGGTAATAATTTTCAAGTATTTTAAAAGCTCGTATATCCACAAATCTATCAAGCATTAAAAATTATTCAAAATATATAATCTAAATCCCCTCTCTCTAATAGTTCATAATTCTTTGAATCAAAATTGTTAAATTAAAGCAAATTCGATTAATTTTGATAATATTTCAAATGAAAATAAACTTTGAGTATATAATAATTCATGTTTTTTTTAAATTTGTATATTTTAAGGATTATGATAAAAAAACATCCTTGTTAAAGAGATAGCCGGGTTACTTAAGAAGGGAAGAAAATAAATTGAACCATCATTTCTTCCTTAGCGATAGTATGCCATGTTTCCGTGTGTACTTCGAGGAAAACTGCGGAAAATCCTCTGCAAAGTCTCGATGTATAATCTGACGCACATTTATATTCGCATTAGCCGCGGAAAATGCGTCTCTGCATTCGGTGTCAGCGTGACGCGACCGCAAACGTCGCCGATTAATCGCGCGGCGTCGAGCGCGCTCTCTCTTTCTCTCCCTCGCGTGTTTATTTTCTCCACTTTTCCGTTTGACTCTATTTTTTTCGTCGCCTCGCTTTTCCGGGCGGTCGCGGGTAATCATCGGAGCCGCCGTGTGCGCGATGGCAGCTATAGGATGTGACGCAATTGCGGACGGCCGCAGCCCTCCTGGTGCCCTCCCGTTCCGCTCCGCGTCGCGTCGCCGCGATATATAGATTTATTTTCGTCGTTTTCGCGTACGAGCTTTTCCGCTTCGGCTCGCCGGGTGTTTACAGTCGAATGAAAATTTGCTCGGCAGCCAAATATTTTTCCGTCATCGCTCGGCTCTGTCCGCGTTTCATTCTCTCGCACTCCTCCCCCTCCTCTCCTACGTTCTTTTCTCTCCATATAACGTAGGTCAATTTCATCGGTGCGTATTTATACACGGGTGCGGCCAGATATTTAGCGCAGGAACCTGTGCGTGCATGCGTGCATGCATGCGTGCGTGCGTGCGTGCGTGCGTGCGTGACGACGAGGGCGCGAGATTATCAAGTTGCATTAGTCGAGAAGAAGAGGGAGGGGGGGGGGATAGAGCGGTAGAAAAATAAATAATTGCCGGAAAGAATTTATTGGTTCTAAGCTCCGCCGGCTTGGAAAACGTTGGCTACTTTTTAATTATCTCGTTAGCTCGCGAGAGTGACGTTGACAGCGGCGGAGAAATAATGCGATTCGTAGGTATACGAGCGATGTGTATCTCGTAATAACACTAATAACTGCGCGGCGGATAGATGTCGATCGATTAACTCGAAATAACGCAGTTCATAGACACGTCAGATGCAACGAGGAGAAAAAAAAAGGACGTAATTTTCTTCCCGATTGATCATCGCAGATAGATACAAATAGATTAATCTGTCTCTATAATTGAACTCGCGCCGCAAGTCCGGGAGGATGGAGCGTCGGAATAACTATAATAAAAGCGTGAAAGAATGCGAGAGAGTATTAGAGAGGATATAAAGTGAAAAGCAAATGGTAAGAGCAATAATAGTCAACGGCGATCTTCGTGTTACACAATGGTGACCCTAGAAATAAGAGCCTGGCTGCAACGTTTCGGTTTGATAAAAAATGGTGTATATATGTATGCACTCGCACAACACGTTGTATTCACGTATATTTGCTTTTCAATTTTCTCACTCGTTCAGTCATTATTTGATTGATCCTTCCGGCGCCGTTTTTCATCGAGCCAGTCAAAACTAGGCTAGACTCTTATTTTTAGGGACTCTACAGTGTTACAGTATAATCATTGATACCTGAATTTTTAAAGAATTGACTCTACGTCATACTTAGGACGTGTAAAATTAGGGGTTTCCTCTTGCAGAAGTGCTCGTACATTTACCAGTAAATGGAACAATAAGTAAAAACAGAAAAAAGGCGTCTGTTCACCAAAGTTGGAGAAAGTTAAATTTTCGGGATAACAATTTATTACGATACGCCGCATGATGAATCGATTCATCTCGCTCTTACCGTTTCTCTTGCCATGCAATCTTTATATATGGCGTTTGTGCAAGTGGACTTTATTCCCCGTTCAGTTCGTACATAGATAACGCAAAATTACTCAAAATGCGAGGCTTTATCTTATCGATGTAAAATGTCCTTCGCTAATCGCGTTTCTTTCGAAATACACTTCACTTTGGCCAATTTCGAGTTTGTTTTGCTGGTCATCGCTTGTTGCAAGTTTTTTCAACTAACATTATATCCAGTTTTCAATATCATACCGAGAAAAATGTTTCGGTTATTGTTTCAAGAAGTACAAACAAACAAGTTTTAATCATACAAATGAGATTTCTGATTATTGTAATTGAATTTCTACGATCAACTATAATGTTTGATAGATTTAACTGTAAGTGTCTGTGTGTATCTTTCTGGTTGAATTAATGTAATTTTTCTCAGTAATAATTGTGTTATCGTTATCAGTTGTTAAATTTTACAATGTTTTCATTAATTAATTAATTAAAATTCTCCCAAAGTAAAGGTGAAATTAATTATAGATACAAAGGTAATCTTATATTTATTTCATAAATCTCTTTATTCTGATCTTCTAATTCTAATTGTTTACGAGTTGAGCCCGATTTCACCATTACATTGTAAGATCAACTTTAATATATCTCGGTTCAATTTTTATTCTTTTTATCCTTTTATAATTTACAAAATTTTCTTCAATCGTTTCTCCTTTACTCTTCGAGAGAAATTTTATTAATTTTATTCAAGAATTTTAGCTTAACGATTGATAACGATTGCACAACAATTACGAGACTGCACACTTGAGAAAGTCTTGTTGCCAATTAATTCTACTAGAAAGATTCTAAAAATTAGGAAAAGATAAACACAATAAGTTAAACCGAGATTAAAATTAATCTTACATTGAGAGATGGAAATCAATGTAACTGAGTGACTTAAAAAATCGCCTCGTCATTTCTATACGAAGAATTCAATCGCCTTAAAAGCACCTACAGAATTCTCTCAGAAAATTGCGAGGATGACACTTCCTGTAAATACTCCCAACAAATAATCATCTGTTCTCTCGAAAAATGGCGGGAAAAAAAACATATCAGACTCGCACGAACAATCAAAAGCGTTCGCGCGGACCGCTTCCGAGGGAAACGCAATCTAGATTTTCCGCATCTCGCTCAATGTCTTTATCTCTTCCCCGGTAAAGAATGTATAAGATTCATTGTATATATACGTACCGGATGTCGCGCTGCGGCTGCCACGGCTGCCGCCGCCGCCGCGTTCATGCTCGCGCCGGGGTACATGGCCAAGGTATATCCGAAGTTTTTGTTTCTTTTACGTCACCACACGTCACTACCGCACCTCGTGAAGAGCGAGACTCTCGCCGTCGCACATCACAGCCGAGGAGCGCGTGTAAACAGAGACTCCGGGAGGGAGGGAGGGGGGTGGGTGGGTGAGTGGATGGTTGGTCAATTCACTGGAGCACTCATGACCCGCCTCGGCGTGGCGCCGGGAATTCGACACGAGTAGCGCGACGGAGTACGGTGACTACACGTGGAGCATCCGCGAGTCGCGCATGAGTACAGCGCTGCTGGACGCGCGCGAGAGACTGCGACTGCCTCGGAGAACCAAGAGACGCGATGCGGCCGCCTTAACGAAGAATACACGATACGATGCACACCCGACAACGCGCGTGTGTTAACTGAACTGAACCGGGCCGCCGCCGGCGCCGTCAGGGCCGTCGCCGACGTCACTCGCCGCCAAGAAACGTTCGGCCCGCCACCTTCCGGGCGCTAGGTGTCGCCCGGGTACGCCCTCCACGTGCTCCTCTTCTGCGCGCGCGGAGGGGACACATTTCCGTTTTAGAGACAAATGTTCCGTCGAGTTTGAGCCTGCGGGACGCCCGCTAACGCGAGAGCCCCCGTGGCGAGGAACGAGGTTGGCGGAGGGAATCTCTCGCAGGGAATCCTTTTCGTCGAGATTTCTGTGACTTCGGTCCAAACCGGGGCGGGAACACCTGGGATTTTCAATGAAGATATAGGAATTCAAATGATAATTTATCGACGCGCTCGAGCGAAACGTGAGAAGCTTATGATAGTCGGGCTGTAATTTTCTAAAAGAATGCAGAAAGAGATAATATAATAACGAAAATCTAAGGGCACAGATTCTTGCGTAACGCGTAAAACGCATATATAAGGCAATCGACTAATTAGAATCTTTTATTTCACGGAAAGGAAGGAAATAAAGGACTTTAATTTGTTCGTTTTCTTATACATTATGCGTTATGCAAGACTATCTCGTTTTAAAATTAAAAAAAAAAGTATACTGAGTAAAAATGTTTGACACGTATAACTATTTACTTTTATTTAAAAATTTTGTTGATTTAATCAAAATTTGATTATTCTGACAATTAGAGCGACACAATTTTTCAACGAAAAAGTAAGAAAGTTTTTGTTAGTCAAATATCAACAAAATATAAATACGTACCAAAACATTTCTCTCAGTGTAGCACGTATTTCAAAACGAGCGTTTTCATCGAGAAGAATACAAGAATTTCTGTATTGAAAGAGAGAAAAAAAAAAGAAGTCCTAAAGCGTGTTTTGCACGCGTTGTAAGCAAGTATATCCCGCTGAGCCGAGAGAGGCGTTCCAAAATATCTTTCTAAAGACTAGCAAAGAAAATTTAGACACGGTGGTAATTTCTGTAGTTTTACGAAGGATACTGTCGAAAAAGGGAAAACAGACTAAACGGTTTTAGAATAGGTATAACCTTTCTGAAAGAAACAGATAACTAAGTAAAGCAGATATTTCGACAAATAAAATTGAAGAGGCATTGCGTTGAATGTTAGTAATATATAACTTCAGTTGGAATAAATAAAGAATCCCATACGTAAATAGACGTATTCTAAACGGAAACCTTTCACAATTAGAGGAATAGGCGTAACAAAAGTGTAAGCTAAAGGACAGCACTGTGTCCATAATGGCTCAGTTTACACCGTACATTCAGATCGCTCTACCTATTCACTTTAACCTATAGATTAAACAAGGACACCTGATAGCGGCTCACAACATAAATTAGATCATTGAGATAAAAAAAAAAAAAAAGAATAACTTCGTCCTTGTTAACGAAATATGTCGAAATCTGATCACTGTAACTTTCTGAAGAAGTCTTTCTGAAGAAGTATATCGATAATTTGTTTCTTCCTTACATTTGTTTTACTTCTGTGGTTCGAGGCTCTTTGCTCTCTCGTTATCATTATACATATTTATATATTTGGGATATCATTATCGCGTTCGAGATAGGCGCACGCTGTATGGGACACACTATTATCGGGTCGCGCTGTCAAAATGGTGCGCTCGGCAGAAAACGCCGCTGTCTCATTATCTCGCGCCTTATCGACATTCCGCTCGGACTCGGAGAGTAAGAATATTACGACTTAAAAAGATAACCTCGTATAGGCGATGCAAAACTGAGTGGCGCGATAATGACCCCCGCGTCTCGCGTTTACTCCCGGGAATGCATCCAGATTTCGCCCGAAGAGAAAAACTCCGCCGGGCTTTATCGTTAGCGTTATCGCGCTCGATGTACAAAACATAATATTTTCTACAACCGAGCTCTCGATCGACCCGGCGCCGTTCTGAATACACGCTCGAAACACGTTCTTCTCTTTTCCTTAGCGGGATTATTTTTCTAAGTACAAGAGAGCGTCTCGTTTATCGAGCTTATCGATCTTCTTTTTTATCAGTCACTCGTCACTTTCGAGCTTTTATACACTAATTATCGGTATTGAGAGCGCGATACTTTTTCATCGTGCGAATAGTTATCGGTATCGACTGCCGACACTTTTGTAAAAATTATCGCCATGTCGCTATCGCAGATATACTGATAAATAGATAAAAAGAAAACATTCTGCAAACAGCAAGTAAATTAAAAAAAAAAAAAGAGCCTAATTCTTCTTTCAAGCCATTCGTCTAATGGCGAATCCAAGACAAAGTCAGACATGTTTTACAATGCGATTGTATATATAACAAAAAAATATTTTAATATCAGAATTATCGATAACAAAACTGACGAAGATACTAATTTCATTATTTTTTATCTTTGTTTTCGGTGAATGAAGAGGTATTTTGATGTGATTTGTATCATTAGAATTGTTTGTATTTATTTTTATATATTTTCAATATTCTCTGTACCAATCTCTTTCCGGTGAGAGCAGACTGCATTCCGAAACTCATCGAAAAAAAGTGTTGCAACCTTTTTCTGGTCTACTGCACATTTAATGCAAAAAAATTGAAATAATTGGCGAAGCCAAAATGGTATTTAGATATTTGTGTCATTAGAATTATTTGTATTATTAACTACATATATTTTAAATACTTTTTACTGCAATATCTAACGCACAAAAGAAAAAAATTGGAATTATTAGCGGAGCCAACATGACCTTATGGTATTACTTGTGTGTCATTAAAATTATTTTATTATATTTATATATTTTCCATATATATTCTGTATACTGTGTCTGTCTGATGCAAAAAATATTGAAATGATTTGCGAGGCATAGAATGGCATCATCAGTTCTAATATTAAAACGCATGATTTCAGTTCTAACGACTGTATATACGCTTGCACTATCTCTTTTTATTTTTCGGACGCACGATTTGTTCTGGAAAATATTTCGAGCCAAGAACCTCTTCGTTCGTCGCACCCCTCGTTGGCGAACCGGATACGCGCCGCCGTCCATTCGCATTCTAGCGTGCATTCGGGCGGTTGACTCGTCGAAAAACGTGTTAATTGGCATTATTCCGAGCGGTTGCAACGGCTGCCAATTGGCTCGGTCGTAAATCGGCGCGGGATACAGAACGCCGCTCTCGACATGCGCGCGTGCGTGCAAAACCTGACGATGAATTCCGATCTGGTCGCTCTCCGCGACAAAGCTACCCGGAATCGCACTCTTACCGTTGCGGGATCGCACACGAACGAAGCTTTCGACGATCGATCCGAGCCTTTTCCTTTCGTCACGCTCGAAGTCCCTGCCTCGAATCTGTCATTTCTAAATGCACGGCGCGAAAATCTCGCAGGCGCACGAACCGCGAATATTTTCAGGCAGTTCCAAGCCCGACCTTTCCTTGGCAAAAGTATATAGCTGATTCGAATCGAATACGTCAAAACGCTCGCAGTTTGACAGAGAAAATGACAGAGTTGCGATCCGGATGAGATATTATGAAAATGAGGGAAGCTTCCGCGTGCACGTATCAAGAACGTGGGAAGAATGGCAGCGAGAAAGAGAGAGAGAAAGCGTCATTTATATAGCGTTCCGGGATAAATCCTCTCAAGCGCTGGAACCACCATAATCCAAGTAAATCCAGAAACAAAACAAAAAAAAAAGAGACATAAAGTAGTAAAACGTAAGTAGTAAGCAAATTGCTCAATCACAATAGAGAACTTTACGTTCTCAATTCGTTTATTACGTTCACTTTCTTACGTTTTTCTATATAATGTTAAAAAAAAAACTCAGAAGTTAATAGATATTTTGAAGGAGAAACACAAATAGATTGCAAATAATAATTAGTATCCTATCACACATTTGTGCGTGCATTTATCCACTACATATATGTATATATGGCATATCACGCAATTTCTTTTTCGCGCTCTTTTCTTCCCCTCCCTCCCACCCCCTCTCTCTGAGAGTATATGAGAAAGAGAGAGAGGGGCGGGGGAGGAGCGCGAAGAAGAGATCGCGCTCTATGCCATGTAGGTGCGACGCGGAAAAAGTTTTCGAGCTTTCTCCTCTTCTCTCTCTCTCTCTCTCTCTCTCTCGTGCTTCGTCGACAACAAGCAGCTCCGCAACTGCAAAAAAGCTCTCTCGGAAAACTCCGGCCACGGAGCCCCCCCCGTCTATCCGCACGTGATTACGCGCGCAGTAAGTACACGCCATCGACATTCGCGCGTATGTACGTACATACGTACGTATGGTAGGTACGCGCGAAAAAAAAAAGGTTCCGCGCAAGCATTTTCTCGCGTTTCGCGCGAAGCGAGGAAGGAAACGGAGATCGGAAGAATGAGGGGTAGATAAAGAGGAAGACGATCGTTATTAGCGCCGGGACGCCGTTACACGCGGAAAAAAGAGAAGAGTACGTGACTTATTTCGCGCCTCCCTTCTCTACCCCTTCTTCCATTTTCCGTTAATATATATTCGCCTCGGTGGAGAAGTATCGGTACGCGCGCGCGCGCGAGAAAGAGGGAGAAAGAGAGAGAGAGAGAGAGAGAGAGAGAGAGAGAGAGAGAGAGACACGGCCTGTTACTTTTCATCTGTCAAATCCATTGGAACGACGCGGGCTGCGGAAAGAGCCCCTGGTGTAGAAGATCGAAGAATATACCCCGGCCGGAGCCGGGGTACGAGAGCGAAACGATAAGGTGGTCGGTCGTCGTAGTTGTGGAATAGGAGGGTCACAGAGAGGAGAGGAGAGTTTTAGCTCCGGTGGTACGCGGCGCGAAATGCTCTTCGCTGATTTCCTTTTCTAAATATGGCCGCCTTCGTGTACCACGTTTTCTCTCGCTCTTCTTCCTCTCCCTCTCTTTCCTTTCGTGTATATACCGACGCGACGCGACGCGCCGTAACCGGCCCTGCTTGCCCGAGGTTCTACTTGATTGCCAAGGCGTCTTAACCTCGGCCTCGTAGCAGCAGCAGCGGCGGCGGCAGCACTAGCAACAGCAGCCAAGCACCAGCAGCAACGGCGGCGGGAATCCGCGCGGACCGCGCTCGACCGAAGAGACTTGGAGAAGCGCGCCTATAAGAATCGCGTTCGACGCGACGTGGCCAACCTGCGTGCATAAAAATCCACGGCGACGCCCCGGTGGGAATAAAGAGGCGTCGTCGTGCGGTGAAAAAGACCAATCCGATCGAAAGAACGACGGCCCGGCGACCAATCGCGCGCGCGCTTTCCGTAAGCCGCGGCCCGACAGCTGCTCGTTGAGTCCACGCGGATATCGTATACTCTCTACCTGCCTTTATTATGCCTTTCTACGCGGCTCTTCCCCCGCGAGCCTTTCGACCGCGCGGTGTGTGTACGTACGTGTGGACGTGGTATACGCGCGGTACGTGGTGTAAGCGCGGTATACGCGGTCGAGGATATACCCCGGCGGCGAATGACGAGGGGATAGGAGAGAAGAAGAGGAAGCTGTATTCCCGTTGGTCTCTTCTACTCCAAGCGCGGCTTGGCTTGGGGAGAAGATGCGCGACGGGCACGTCGCCGTCGCCTCGCAGCGGAAAAAAAGCGAACCCCTCGGAAGAAACCGAGGAACGCGTCGCGTCGGCCGCGTGTTCCAAGTCCGCGACCAATTAATACCGACGCCTCTCTCTCTCTCTCTCTCTCTCCTTTCCGGATCGAAATTGTAATTCGTCGACGACGGGTCGGTGATCGGAGTCGGAGGGAACATTTGGTCGAGCGTGTAACGATCGTCTTTCCTCTCTTCCCCGTGTAAGAAGATATTACACGGCGTTACGTTGTAATTCGTAATTCGCGGCAAGATCGAGCCGATATATACGATTATATACGGCCGAGGAAATGTGTGGCCTCTGTTGTTGTCGTGAATAAGTCTCGCTTCGTATCGCTCTATCGCGATGTAATGCCGCTGATGATTAAAGAACCGCTTTACCTGACACACACGTGTGCATCGTTGATGGAACGCTGCTCGTCTTCTTCTTCTTCTTCTTCTTTCAATTATTGGACAGGAACGGTGCTCTGAACTCATCGATCTATATATAAGAATCTCAAGAGTGACTGCGATAATAAACGCGCAGTCGTTTCTCGCGGAAATTAAATTACATTTGTTTTCATTGCCGTCTGTAAACACTCCGATTATCGATCGGGAATTTTCGTAATCCCGATTTTTCCAGATTGCGCGCGCGCAAATAGGATTACCGCGAATCGAGTGAAATTTGTCCTCGTTAGTCAGAGATACTCGAAATCGGATTTATCAACAGCTTCGCTCTCTCGAATCAAACGGAATTCGAATAATAATGTAGCCCTCTGAAGTGACAACAATGGAAAACGACCGGTCAAAAATTGCTTTATACGATAGTTATATCCCTTTTCTAATTCGGCACGATTACGATCTCGATAACGACTTTCCTCTCCTCCGCTTCGTGCGATTATGAAAATTTAATCGGCAGTATCGGGTTCGCGGAGGTGAACTGAACGTAAAGCGATCCGATTTCTCGGCGGGCGTGATGGTCAGTCATGCGTGTAATAACCGACGCTCTTACGTATTACAGATGTTACGTGCCACACGATGGTACCACGCAGTACACGGCGATACCATCTATTTCTTTGTATTTCCTGTAATTGACTTCGATTATTCGATAAATTAACGAGAAATTAGAGAAAAAGATAGGGAATAAATAAAACTGATGATTAATGAAATAATGTGGCTCGTTAATTTCTAATTTACTCTAGTTTCCATAAATATTTTAACATCACGTTCTCTAATTATCATGGGCAATTATTTACCACTTATTTCATTCTGTTTACCTATACCAAAAGAAAGGTGTTTTGCGTTAATCTCGGGTATTAAGCCGTGCTCACTTTTGTCTTGATATCGCCACGAGAGCTCTATCCTCAGTGGTGTTATAAATTAATTATCCAAGCGACATTACACCCGTTGGTTATAATCTTATCACTAAAAAGGAGGTACAAATCGATACGGAAAGACAAAGGAAAAGGGATATACAACTTTATTGTTTTTTTTTTCATTTCTCCATACAACTGGTTATTAGAACGATTAAACATACTTCACATATAGTACGTTATCATACCACGCATCGTACGCGTCAATTTGCCTGTTATTCTTGTAATGCGACTCGCGTAAAGAACATACGTCGTAAAAAGACATCGCTTCGAAATCGCATCGAATCTCGCAAGAATTAATTATCTGCACGAAAAAATTTTCCCGAAACTTACAACGCCACCACTTATAAAATGTAACATTGTTGTGTTGAGCCACAAAAGGAAAGAGATATAAAATTCAATCTATTTCTTTTCCTACGATTGTTCCAAAGTCACGGCAATGCCGTAATTTGAATCGATGAACTTAATAAGAACTATAGGGAAAAAAAATCATTTTACGCAAGCAGACAATTCAAAACTAGCAGGTGCACAGGTGCAAAAATCATAAATAAATGGGTACACAGTTAACAATTTTTACATTTATATATACGCAGAATATATTATATTTCTTTAGCGGAAATTAATAATGTCGATTAATTAACGTCAATTTTTTTTTACGAAATTGACATTAATTTATCAATTTTCATTGAAACTAATACCCAATGGAAAATTTGATTTCAAGGAGATTCTAAATATTATTTAATTATGAACTTAATCCGGAGAATAGTTCAGCCAAAATGTGAATCTATTAAAGCGAATATTGATATGAGCATATAGATAACATGTAGATACATCTGCACCGTGCCGATCAGTCAGTTAAAAATATATTTGTTTTCTCTCTCCCTCTGCCCATCAATAGAGGGAGAAAGAAATATATTTTTTTCTTTCTATACGGAATTGTCCACGTGAGACCGAATCATTCATTGCGCGTCGATTCTCTCAGGACAGCAGCCGTCTTTCATTTAACGATACCTAACATATCTCTTTTAAGTTAATAACACAAGTCAAAGTACGATATTATATCTCGTCGCTGATTATTATTTCGGTGGACGTTCCTGATCCGCGAAATATTTGGTCGCATTCGGAAAACGCAACGGATCTGGAAAGTCTGGCGTGCCATATCGGCACGGATTTAAGCAGTCCCTGATTGCCTGACCAAACGCGCGACGCACAGCTGGATCCGCTGCGACAGCCACGGCGGCACCTTCGACCTCCTCGACACCGGCATGACCGACTCCCTCTCTGACTAACCGTTCCATGGATGCTGCTATAGTCGAATGATGAGTCGGCGTAGGGCTAACTAGTAACCGTGGTTTCTGTTGTTCGATCAACTTGCGACGTTTACTTGGTAGACCGCCTAGATACGCGTCGCTAAACGTTGTCACACCACTGTTCGGTGTTACACCCTGCATCTGCAACTGTCTACGTTGTCTCACACCGTCGCGAGCGATGATTGGGACCCAATCCTAGAAAAAAAATATAACTACCTTACTAAATGAATATATGTTGCCAAATTACTTATATTGAATCGTCAAGATCTCTAAACATATGTTAAGAATTTTTTTTTGCAGAAAACTTTTATTATTAATTAAAAAATTTTAGTTATTGAAAATTAAATTCACAATAAATTCTTTTTTATGTTACTGACTTACCGAAGGTAAAGCTTCGTGACCAGGGAATGTTTCCGGAATTTCTTCTCGGTCCTCAGGTATTGAGCTTTCGCGTGTTGGTTGTTGCTGTTGTTGTTGATGCTGTTCTAGAGTTTCGGTTTCCATCGGCTATACATTTATAAAGAACATTTATTATATGACTATTTTATTATAACGGTAAAAAAATGATATGATAAAATTGATTACTTCATCTTCCGGTTGCGCCTGTGAGGATTGGCGAGTCGACGTTGAATATACCGACGACGGTTGAGACGATGCATCTCTGTACACTAAAAGTGGTATGATCTCTGAATCCGGGGGTTGTGGTACGCGCAAAAAATAAGTACGAAGATGGGTGATAAATCCATTCAGCACCCACTGGAGAAGAGCAGGATTGCCACCATCCATCAAGTTATGCTATCAAAACAACCAAACCGTATTAGTAAAACATATATAAATTTCTTCCCTCCATTCTTCACATTTAAAAGAATCAAGACCAACCATAAAACGTGTCGCAATCGCTTCCAAACCAGCTTGGCCGCCGCGTAGCGAGTATCGAAGTACTGTACAAATTTGGTTGCACATGTTCATTAGAATATTCAGTATATCTTGTCCGAACCTAGTATCATCGATTCCTGTAAATTCAATATGTGTATTTGGTTTGTTGATTTTAAATACACGTAATATTAAAATACTAACCGTTGTCGAATGAGATTCTAAGTATATCTCTTGCGTGGCGAGTAATCAACGATTCAACGGTCGCGCAAAGATCAACACGGGAACCGATTCTGCTGCTAGTGTCTTCCTCGGACGCCAGAAGATTCTGAATGTGAACTCGTAGTTGAGAAAGTAAACGCTCAATTGCTTGTTCTTGAACGGCGTCTGGTGACGAGGCACTCGAGAATGTATACTGTAGGAACTCTTGCAGTGGTCTTCGAAGACGAGCGATGGGCCCCCACTGACCGAGACGTATTCTGATCAATCCATCCAGAGACATATTTTGTGCCTGTGAGATAAATTTCTCTTTAGTATCATAGATAATAAAAAGTTAATATATCGTGTAATAATGAAATTACCAGCAATATTAAGAGATCGATAAGGAAATTATCATCTCTACCGGATTCTTGCGACGTGGAAAGATCCATAGATAGACCACCACCCTCAAACAAGCTGGCCAATGATAGAGAATTTCCAATTAAGCTGATCACCAAGAGAAAAAAATTCCACGATTAATGTTATGTATTCGTAATAAACGAATCTTTTTTTAATCCTTTAAACATTTAACACACCTATCGCTTAAGAATCCTACGTGTATATTATTGCCATGTACCATTTGCATTATATTCCCAAGACTTTCCATCAAATTTGGAGCTGTAATATAATCAACGTCAATATCGAAGTAAATATTTAAATTTGCTATGTGTGTTATTATAATATTTAGTATTTAAATTACCGTTACTATTTATGGTGACATTGGGTTGCGATTGACCGCCCACTGTTTGACTTATTATCTGTTGCAATAAAGCCATAAAGGGGTTATTAGGAGCCGTTTCTGCATTTGTAGTTGATGTTACGTTTGGCGAAGTAGAACTGGTGGTCGTAGTCGAAGTCGTTGCTAGAAAAATATTTTCCTAATTGTAGAAACATGTATTTACAAAAAGAAAAAATATTTTGATCCTCGTATCGTTTACCAGTTTGATTAGTTTGATTCTGAGCGTCCGCTGTAGTTGTTGACGTCGTGCGCGTTGTTTGCGAAGAAGTTGCCTCGGTAGTTACAGTAACCCCAGTACTCGGAGAACGGTACACATGGTGCGAGTTACATGGAAGATAAGGATCGAAATCGAGACCTAGTCCGATACTCATACCAAGACCCATTGGATGAGCATGATGATGGAACACATGCGGTCGCGATGTACTTCGAGTTTGTGTAGCGGTGGTAGGATGAGTACCCGTATTGCTCCTGCATGTTTCACAATTAATTAATATTAAATGTCTGTATTTTAGAGAGTAATTCAAAACAAGAAAAAATGTAAATCATAAGATGATTTGATAAAGTTACAAAAATATTGTCATTATCGACAATATCATACCGTGCTTGAGTGCTTTGACCAGCATTGGTGCTTCCACTGTCCATTGATGAAGAGATACCTGGTTGCGTTCCTACAGCAGTAACGGGAGGATTTCTCGTACTTATAGTCGTAGTAGTAATACCGCCATGCACCATGTGCCCAGCTACAGCTTGCATAAAGTTTCGCATGAAATACGGTGGCGGTGGCGTGCCGAACGGAAACACATTTGTTCTACCTGTAAAATGGAAAATATTGAATAGATAAGCCCATTGTTTCTTTTGCCAAACTAATCGCGTAATACACGACTTACGGGCGTTGTTGTTGTTTTCATTGCCTGACGCATTCTGTTCATTACTCGATCCAGCATCTATATTGCTCTCAGAACTAACTTCCATCAGCACCTCAACGTTATTCGGTAAATTGAATACTGTATCTAGATATGTAATATGTATTAATGTATACCTATATATTTTAATACACTGTAAAGCATTTTGTTGGATCGTACCGCAATATAAGGAAACGTACCAAAAGGCAATTGGCCCTGATCTTGTGATCGTTCTGCATGCGACTGTGCCGCATTGTCGGATTCTCGCTCTTGATTACTTTCCTCGGTATTAACGCGCGACGTAGTTGTCGACGATTCCACGTTATCCGATTGCGCCTGATTACCAGATTCTGTTGTCTCATCGTTACTGTTGTTATTATTAGCGCTACGACCATTCAAACTAATATGTGCCTGTGTAAAATATAAAAAAAAATGAATGTTGAAATAAAATCAATTATATGGATAAACAGGAGTGATATCAATTATTTATATCTTGTGTATCTTTTTTATTAATTGATATACTCACCTCCACTTGGATCGGAATGCCAGGCTGAAGAATAGCCGAATGCTGTACTATTATTGGACGACATCGTAAATTTCTAGGTGGTGGCTGACTCATATCAATGATAATATCACTCAGCGCGTGACAGCTATGCGACATAAAATGCAGAATTTCACTGACTCCATCCACTATTCTTTGATTCTCCTCTATGGTATTCGGTCCAGGCTAAATACGATTAGTCAGTTTTCAGTAAAGCAAAATTTTGTCTTAATGTATTTAATGATTTATACTGGTATTACTTATTGACTTACTCCGGGCGGTAACGAAGGATCGAGAAAAGTAAGCATGCAATAACGTTCCAAGTATGGTCTCAGTCGTTCTTGAGTGTTACACAGTCTTTGTAATAATTCTGCCATTTGCGGAGGTCGTGGGAGACTAAAAGACGAATAATTAACAATAGTATGTATGTCTACATCTGCTAATTCGTCAAATATTTAAAATGATACATACTCCTGCTGAGTACGTCTATTTTGGTTAGGAATGCTCGATGTAGCCTCCGCGTATGCAGTCGAGTATGATCGTTGTTGCTGTTGCGGTTGTGATTGAGATTGTGACTGTGATTGGGACTGTGACTGGGATTGCGACTGCGACTGAGACTGCGACTGGGACTGCGACTGAGACTGCGATTGAGATTGTGACGACTGTGCATCATTTTGGGGCTCATTTGCGTCGCTTGAAGCTCTCGTATTTTCACCGTTAATATTGCTGTCTACATATCGTCGAGGATTTAAATCTTAATAAAAGAGATACCACATTTCACAATATGTAAAATTATGCCAAGGTATGTGAAAAGTAATCGGAATCAAATCTACAAATGTACAAACCTCTGGCCAATGCAACTGCGCGCGCCCCGGCAGCTGATAACGCGGCTGTGATGACGACAGCGGCTGCCTCAGCAAGTCTAGCACCGTCATCTCTAGAAACGTCGTTGTTCCTAAAGAATTACATAAGCATTGACTATGTTCAGCAGACAAAACAGATCAGTGAGCGCCTAGTGATTAATTGTGTTCAGCAGAAAGTTTATTTTGTAACTATTGTAACTTTTTTTTGCACTGATTGGATCATACTTGCAAACCTGAAAGAATGATCCAATCGGCGTGAAGAACAAATGCAAAAAAAAAAACTTTCTGCCAAATTCAGCCACACATTCTTTAATATGATTAGTTCCTTACCTTTAATTGTATACAAATCTAAATGGGAGCCAATCATATTAAAGAATCATTGAGCGTTCAATGATTAATTTTATTCACTGAATGCAGTCATTGTTGTGCAAGAAAATCTATGATCTAAATGCTCATTCAACTCACTCGTTTTGTTCAAGCTCTGAATCTTGAGATTGCTGCTGTTGCTGTTGCTGCTGCTGCGTCGTTGACTGATTAACTTCTGGGGGCGGATGCAGACGTGGAGCGCTGGGATCATCCAGCTGGTCGATCAGCTCATTTACACGATCAAGCATTCGACCAGCATGATTCAGCCTACTACCGGACAAACTGTTGCTCAACTGTGGTATACCTGAGGGAACAATCAAAACGTCACGCGTTAAGCAAAAATAAACACGTAAAAAAAAAAATTTGTAAATCAGTACTACCATGGCCTTCAACAATTTCTGCCGGTACAGACATAGCTCCCAGATACATCGCGTTTCCATGCATCTGAGTGCGTGTAACTCGATAATGCGGCCTCTGCGAGTTTTGCCAGCCCTGTCTGCCCTGTCCCTGTGTTTGTCCACCATCGTTCCCATGTTGACCAGACTGGGGCGGTGCACGTTGCACCAGATGTATGACTTTTCCATTGACATCTGAAGGAACACATTGCGTCAATACATGTCTATCATGGTCTATACAGCTTGCGACATGTTATTCATATAAGTAGGTGTGTGCAATATATATATATATACCATAATCATTTAATTTCTTTTCATCTTGAAGCACTCGTCCACAATAAATCAACCTCTGTGAATCTGCTGGTACCGCGACGGACTCTGCTATGTACTCTTTAAAGCCGCGTACCGTGATTTGCTTTAAGGAAGAGAGAATATGCAGAGATATATTATATAATTAAACAAATAAGAGATCCATTTGGGTAATGGAGTACTCAGTGTACAGAACAAGCCGTGGTATGACTTTCAGTGGTCTCCAGATGTTTCTAAGACACATTTATAGACGTGTGTCGATTACAGCGAACTGCGGCGATCGACACACGTGATCACGGAATCAAGGAAAGAGGGGGAGGACTTACGTCGTCTTCCAGGGAGAAGACGTGATTCTGTGAGTCCAAGGTCTTGACTGTTAGGTCGATCATCCTCGTAGGGCGCGTAGCACGCGAACTCGATGAAAAAAGCTTGTCGATGTCGTTGGATGGATGGCGACGACAAACGTGCAATGGCACCAGAATATCCGGGATACTCACAAATTCGGACTACAGCACCTTGGCACGATGTCTCCTCCAGTCGCGGCTTTTCTTACGTTCGGTCGATGAGGTCAGGAGAGAAGTGGAATCGGATGTGAACGAATAATCGTAGAATAACGTTCGTTAATCCTCGACTCCGCTCACTGCGTGCCCGCTCGCTCGCCCGTCACCACGTTCTCACGCTCGGCCCTTGTCGCGAGTTTCATGAGTTTCATTACGTCGCACAATGTCGCGGGACGAACGAAGGTGGCGCAAAGGGGGACGCGACGACGTTACCCAGAATGCCGTTAAGAACAGTGGCGACACGGTCAATGCTGACAACACGTGGTATTGATAGTCCCTAAAAAGTTCATCTAAACGGAAAAACTGATCGAATGAGAGCGTTTACCATTTGTCGTGCACGACATGGTTACTTTGAAGATTGTCGAATGAATCAATGGATGGCGTGATGATGCGCAAATTTGTAAATTTGTGGACTTGTTCAGGCTGGTTTGTTTTGTGTATTCGTTGTTTTTACTGTGATTTGAAACGCAGATTCTTCCTGAAATCGAATGGTTGGAAAATTTCCATTTCTAGATTTTCGAGAAGGGGACAAATGAACACGACAAACTACCTAAAATTTGACTATTTCTTTTAATTATCATTTCTCATTGTTGGAGGAAAGAGGTATGACGTACTTAATATACATCAGACATCTGAGAAAATAAAGGTGCCATTTCATACAGGAATATCAAGCGTTAATTTTAATCACGTGATCTATTTTGACGCTATAAGCAGAGAGAATCAGCATGGAAAGGCACCTTAAGAGTTACTCTCGAGATTTTAACTTGGGAATAGTCGAGATAAGAATATATTCTCATTTACTATACAATGAGATAACTAAAAATTGTCATATTTCGAAATAAAAGGTTCTAAATTAATTACGACCTTGACGTAAATTAATGAGTCGCTCTTGGAAGTTATTATTTCTATAATATATATCGCTATGTAAAAATCTTTCATGTGATTCACAATAAAAAATTTTTAATCTATTAATATATATACAGGAAATATAGTTAAAGTAAATCGGTGAAGTAAAATTTGTATAAATAAAAAATGTATAAAATAAAGTATCTCAAGTTGTCATAAAGTGTAGTTTAGAATATAAAATTAATTAAAATATAAAACGATGCATAGAGGTTGAAGCAAAATATAAAAAGTATAAAAATTTTATCAGCAGAGGTACAATTTATGTTAATGGGGATCAAATACAATCGTAGATTTAATATAGAAACGGATCAGATTTATTTCATATTCAAATGTTATATTTCATTCAAGTGTTCACAGAATAACAAATTTCATTGGGCTGCTGCTGCAATCTGCTGTTAGATATTATGGTCCAGTTCTATCAATATAAGATTAACTTCAATTCTTTATATTTTTCTAAGAATTAGAAAAGAGATAAAAAGTCAGTATTCACAGACCATCCTCTTATTTCAATTACATAAGTATGTTAAGTAAAGCATCTTAAGTTTTAAGATGTTAGTACAGCTTTGTAATTGGCTTACAACATCTTAAGATTGTACTTAAAACGGTCAAACAGTAAGTATTAAACCTGAGATTAAAGTTAATCTTACATTGATAGAATAGGGCTTATGTCGGCGGATTCCGCTGACAGAATTCGAGATTTACACGGATGTAGTCTGCCAATTTGCGATAATACTCCACTTGGGTTCATTGATGAACTGTTAGTGTTTTGTTCACTGCGGGATATATTCGTTGGAAAAATGTTAATGATGTTTTGATATTATAAGCAGGAAGTGATAAGTCTTACATTCTGCGATATAGAGGTTTCCCCAGAGTTTCCGATACGACAACAGGCGCCCTGATGCATCGAACAACAATGTCCTACAGCCCGTCTTCCTCCGGTTTCTCCTCTACGCTGCGGCGAGGAACACAGCGACCCCGAAGGGTCCCGTATCCATACAGAAAACAAGATCCAGCAAGAGCGATGGAAGTGAAAAATTCGGCCGGGATTATTCGCCCGTGGCCGCAGTGGAATGGCACAAGATGGGCACCGGTTTTAAATCCCCGCCGTAAACATACGCGTCAGAGGCTCTCAATGTCGCCTGGAATACCATACAAGGAATATGGGGGATGTATGACATTTCTAAGTGGTAATCTTCTAATCATGTTTGATGCGATCAGCACATACAACGTGCATGATATTAAAAACTTTTATTCCTCGATATCATATAAAATACATACTATAGAAAAAAATACATACTGTACGCAAATAATAATTATACTGTTTCAAATATTTTAAAAGTTTATAAATCTGTTATAAGTTCAAGTATCAAATTTACTCAAAATATATTTTCAATCAAAGTTTAAACTTCAATGAAAATTATTAAATTAAAACAAACTCAATTTGCTATTATTGTACATAAAGTCGTTTCTTCGATCAACCTTATAAAAATATTCTTTAAAACAGAATAAGTTTTTATTTGGAGTATATGCTAATGAGTTTTTTTTTTAAATAAATTAAATTTGTAACAAGTGAAATATATTATTATCAAAAAAATCAATTTTAAGATTATTATTAAGAAAATATTCTTTGTTAAAGATATAACTGTTACTTAAAAACTCTTAAAAGAACGAAAGTAAATTGAGTTAATCACTTTTTTTAGCAAAATATTTTCTGTACTCATATCTCAAGTAAAACACAAGAGTCATAATAACATCATAAGAACATTGTCATGTTTGATATTATCTTGTTTGTCATTTATAAGTTTATTTTTAAATGACATATATAGTTATAATAATGTCCTATTACATTATGACTTAATTATGATTCTACGTAAAATAGATGTGAATATGGAAAATGGAAAGTAATGCAAATTAACGAAAAACTATACAAAGTTTAAGTAAAATGCTTTTCTTTTTTTCCTCCGTTTTTCTTGTCTATTGTTTTTACGGTTGATAATTGTCAAGCGGAACTGCAATTGTTCCAAGGATAACGAATGTCAATGTAAATCTCCAGAGAATGAGAGTTTAAATAAATGTTTCCATTGTGATTCGATTTAGGAGCAAAGAAAAGCAAAACTTGCGGCTTTACGACGCCCGTCTAGATTTAGATCGTCAGTACGTGTTTAACTTAATCTTCTCTCGTACAGTTTCTCTTTTACCCCTTTCGCGGTCAACCACGCAGCGCGGCGCCGCGTAAACTGAACGAGTGAGAATAAAAAAAGAAAAAAGAGCCAGATGTCAGAAGCGTGAAAAAGCGAAGACAAACATTTCTTTTACGGGATATAATTCGGACTTTGCCGCAACTTCCAAGAAATTGACAATATAACTCTCTCTTTAAAAGTAAAAGAAAACAGCAAAATTGGCATAATTTGCAATTTTTCTCTCGAAAGTGTGCATTTATTTATTGCACAATACAATATAAAAAGTCTTGTGTTAACATGTGTTAGAACGTGTGTCACGAGGATTGCGCAAGAATATAATGAAGAAAAATAAAGTATAAAAAAAGAACATAAAACATTACGTTCGCATTTAAAATTAAATAGACATTGCATTTTTTTCAGAAAATTTTTCAGGAGAAGATTTGAAGAAAGTATGGAAAGAGAATGCAATCAAAAAGGACATATCAATTTATCGCCATGCAGAGGACAATAATCTACTGATAAGGCGATGTATCATTAGAAATAAGATTCCAGCAGCCCTCAAATCGCAGATAGACTGATCTTCACGCTGAGCGTCCTCGTCGTCTACGCGCGCCAGGCGATTATTTCCCAATATCTCAATGCAGCATGTAAAACGTCTATCGTGTATACTCGATGCCCACACCGCTACCTTCCTCGCTCTGCTTCCACTCTCTGCTCTCCTCCAGCTTCTTTCCTCTACCGTTTCTTTTTCTCGATAAGAAAAGGAGGAGTTTGCCTGCATACCTCGAAGCTATGCGGTACACAGATGCAGGCAGAGCGTCAGAGAGAAACGATGTACTTATACGGACATCGAGAGAAAAAGGAGAGGGTAAAGTATATTAAGATTTATTCTATTTTGGCGGTAATAACTCTTTTAAGTGCGTGAGAGATCATTTACAAGTCATTTTAAAACATATGATACTATTAATTGAATAGTCTGGCTAAACTGAGTAAACAGCTTACAAGAGTTTTGCATGCGTTTATATTACATTACATATCATCAAGTTTTTTGTTGTAGTGTCTCGGGACATGTTACAGAATATGCTTCGGAGAATAATATCAAAATATATTTTCTAAGAGAGGCTATAAAAAGATCTAATAAAATCATCTCGAGATGCGGAACGAGTTAATTTCTATTTATTTTAAAGTAATCCTGATATATATTTTACATGTGGTCATCATATTTCAAACATGAGGCGGACACGTGAATTGAAAGATCGGTTACAGTTTAGTATTTTGAACTCCAGTAAGGTCATTACACACACACACACACACACGCACATAGAGAGGGAGAGAGAAAAGAGAGCTGGCGAAAGAGGCGAGAGTGCGTGACGCGGCGGCCGAGGGCGGCTGGCGCGGCGGCGGCCGTGTGTGCGTTGGCGCCAGGCCGCATTCTCGCATTCGTTAAACCGAGGCACGGAGTTAGGTCCCTCCGCCTCGTACCTCGTACCTTATGCCTCGTGCCCTGCCTTGTCTTGCTTTGTTTTGCCTGCTGCGGCCTCTCCCGTATGTTGTGACTTCCTTCCTCGCTCCCGTATTACTCTGTGCCTACAGCGAATAATAGCGACAGCAACGGGATAAAGAAAAGAGTCTCTCTTTCTCACTTCCTCGCACCTCTGCCTTGACGAGGAAATAAATAAAATCGCGTTTCTTGGTATGAAAATTGTTGGAATCTGTCTTCCTCGACTTTCAAGAATGTACATGAAAAATTAAAGCTATGTTTTTCCTCGCATTGTCCACAGTTTGATGACCTTTATGCGCCGGGAGACATTAGGTGAATTGTAGGCGCCAGTACAGATAGATACTATGGGGAGCCAATGTGGAATAGCTTAAAGAGGATATAAGGCGAGTCGCGGTGGCGCCGTGCTCGAGAATTTACACGACATACCTCTGGCGAGTTACAGCACATAAATGGGTACGTAAATCATGCGCGTAAACAGCCACGTTATATACATAGATAGAGGCGTTTACTCGGATGACAAGCGACCCGTGAAGCGCCGCCGCCGCATCGGCGAGCTCATTAAGTAATCGATATTATTTTACGATGAACAGAGAAACCCTTGATAGAACACTTACGATCTCGACACGGACACGCGTACTCCCGGGATCGCTCTCCTTACGATGATTAACTGAAGTTGGGATTTATCTCTCCAATTTGTAATCGGCGAAAGAGAGAGAAAGCACCACGTTTCTTACGACCGTTTACATTCGGATAAAAAGCTCCGTTATTTCGATCACTCCGAATTTTGATGTCACAGTTCAAAATAATTTCGTTATTACGAGTGCCGAACAATTTCGAAACTTGTAACAGTCAAAACGCGATGCGAGATAAATCTTTCTGTGTATCTAAGATATACTGGATTATATATCTATTTCAGACATAGGGTAACGAAAAAGGAATAAAATGAAAAAGTGTTGCGACGAAAGCTACTTGGGTTACCTGAGAGACACCCGACATCATAAATCAAAATACACTCGGGCGTAAGAGACAGGATATTCGATCGACTCGACTTTTAATAATTGCCGATGATGAATCGGCTGAGCCTAACTAGCCTGACAACAACAACTGTTTCTCAACTGATCGAAATGACGTTCCAAAAAAATTTCGTATTTCCTCTACGAACACATATAGCATCTCATATGAAAATATTTTTCAGAATTCTCAGGTAACTTTATGATGACGTGTAAATTAATTTATAATCACACCTACTGTAGTCGACAATTATTTATAATGTTATAATGAATTTTTAGAAATTTTCGGAATTTAAGACTAAATGCGCGCGGAGGGCGTAAAAGGACAAGGAATAAAAGGAGCGTTATAAACGGTTTGTGACAAAAAAGGAAGAAGACACAAGGGAGGGCAGCTGAGAAAGAGAGCGCGAAAGAATTATCTATATACTTTCTTTCATGTCGCGCACCGTGCGAAGCAGTTAAGCAAAGGTCACAAGTTGAGCAATCTGTCCGTTTATCGGTGCAAACAACGCTTGCGGCATACATATACGATACAGACGACGGAGGAGAGGTTGATGAATCTTTCGTCGGATCGACTGTCCTGACCAAACACCTTCGTCTTTCCTCAATATAGTCAAGATTCACGAATGAAGATGAAAAGAGAGATCTCTTTCCTTTCGAGCAATCGAAACTTCCGGGAATAATTGGACAAACGTAAAGAGATAAAAGCGGGGACCGGATTTGAGTAAGCGCAGTAGCTACGGCGAGGGAGTAAAAAAACGTGCCGTGGGGTACGGCAAGAGAACGGAGGAGAAGTACGAGGTGAACAACAACGAGACGAGGAAGGAGAGGAACGAGAATATGCATAGTATTGGGGTGTGGTGGTAAGACGCAGGGGGAGAGAGCAGCTGTTGGAGCCGAGCCGGGCCGGGCTGGACCGTTGGTGAGTGAGCGCGCGGCCGGTAGAAAAAGAAGATGAGCCCGTCGGTGTACGCGCGTAACATACGACGGAGGGGGTCGTAAGAAGAGTGAAGAAGAGCCCCGGAGGGAGTCCCTCGTCGAAGGAGGCGTGCGGCGCCACGGTGGGTAACGACGCGACGACTCGGTTGCGACTATAAGTAAGTCTCGCGCGGCGCGCCGCGACTTAATGCCGTCGCCGCGTCCGTGGCGCCAAGAGGAAGGCCCGTTGGCGACGACGATAAACCTCCTTTTCGTGCGTTCCTCGCGATTGCGAAGGAGAGGAGAGAGAGAGAGCGAGAGAAAAGAGAGAGGGAGGCACGGTGAACTTATATTCTGTAGGATGGTGTGGATCGGCAACAGTACAGATAACACGTGGCTGTCAGTCACTGCTGCTGCTGCTACCGTATTGGGCTTCGCCTGCTAGTGTTGATCAGTGATCTGCGGTATACAGCGGTGTTCGAAAGCGCCACAACAACTTAAAAATTTCCGCGCTATGTTATTGTGCTGACACTTGTATTTTTGTTTACAAGTCGACATAGAAATAGATAGTTATACGATCAAATCGGACGATTACCGACGTGAGATCTGTAATATCGTGTATACATAGTGTACCGAGTGGCAGAGACGAAGAGAACATTCTTGGAAGTGGTGCTCGCGCAGAGGGTGGTCTTACCGTTTCGTACATCGCGGAACGTCATTATTGTTCGTTTGGTAGCGTATAATTACCTTGATAATCATCTGTAATCACACTTTGCAGTTGGTACTTCGCTCTCGCATTAATAAGTGACAGCCATGTCCGGTATTCTCTACACGTTGCTTGGCCTCGCGGCCAGCACGAGTCTGCATTGCGCCGTACGACGCGAGATCAGCCCGTGCACCTGCCGACAAGAGGAGTTTCCCAGTCCCGTTATCAACCAGGCAGCGGTGACGGTAGCCGCGTCTACCAGCGGAGTCGCCAACGTGAACAACAATGCTGGCGGTGGTGGAGGAAGCGGTGGTGGTGGTCACCACATAGGGGAGCGTATCGAGGTATTGTGTGAGAAGATGAAGTCATTCGACCAATTGGCCGAGGCATTGAGCGGTAAATTCACCCCCGAGCAGCAGATCACCCTACGAGTGGCGCATTCGAATCTACGCGACATATCGCGCCACGACTTCAAAGAGCTGCGTATGTCTATCACCCGACTCGAGCTGAATCACGATCATCTTGGGTAAGTGCGACGGAATGATCCGTCGATGAACTTCATTGCCATCGAAAAATTACTAATGCGTGAACGATGATCTTGAATAGTAAGATTATGTCCAAGTGTCGAAGTCTTCGGTGAAGACGTAAAGAATCATGGGGGGACGCGCGATAATGACACGATTTATCAGTCACGGTTACTACAACCCGCTGTGTATACAGTTGTGCAGAGATAACGATGGTTTCGGAGATCATCTGTATTTCTCACAAGTGCGGTAAACATTAACTAAGCAACTTTTCTCTAATCAGCATTCTTTCGTTATATACGTCAGATTATTTTTTTGGAAATCTTTAAAGATTAGGATACTGGATTAATTCAGTATGGATTGACATAGGACTTGGAGGAAAGCTTGACGATAAAACCGATTATTAAGTGGAGCTTTTTTTTTTTTTTTTTTAAAAAAAA